GCCCACACATTCATAAGAGCATTAATGCAATCTTGCCTCCCCAGGGAACACACAGGGAAACTTTTCTTTAGAGGGAAAAGTTATTCAAAGGGAGGTCACTGCTAGGAAGAGTCAGGGGTAGAAAGCAGCAATAGCTGTCCTTCCCCTCTCAAAGACCAAATACCTCTGGTCCTTCCCAAGGGACATGTGCACGGAGGAAATGTTAGCTCTATAGTGCAATGGTGGGGTAAAATAGCCTGAAGCCCCCCCCCAATGATTTATGCAGCCTAGACAGGCTACCTGCTACTACAGGCTGCCTGCTTGTACCTAAGGAAGGATTTTTACAGCCTTCAGAAAGGCAACAACCACCTGAAGATGCGGTTGCATAGGTCAAATGGGGAGAAAGGTCATTTTTGAAGCTAAGACAGGTGACCCATGAAGCTTTACCTTCCCCTTGTACAGGATGACTGGGCAGACAAATCGGCCTCTGCATCTTGCCATCTTACTCCGGTTGATGAGGTCCTGCAGCTTGCCAACCTGCACAGTGCTCTCAAACCTAGTGGACAGAGACTGGGTTCAGTACACAGAGCATCTCCTGTGATCCCCATCCCTTTCATAGACGAGCCACCTCTGAAGTTAGCAAGCAGGAAGGCACTTCTGTTAAGTATAGTTTTGCTTGAGAAGAGATTCCTTTGTGTGTAATTCCCAACTATTTTGAAACTTTGACAGATTCTGACATCCAGATTTGGCTGTGGGGTTATTTTTCTACATGTCTTTCTGTTTCCTTTGCAAACACAAATACAGAGGGGAAAAAAAGAACTTTAAGATGCTGCTACCAGAATAGCTCCATGGCACTGCTTCCAAGTCCAGAATACAGCATTCAGCAAAAAATCAAATGCTTGAGATATCAGCAATTGTAAGAGAAGCACCTCCCCAGGAGCTGAGACAAGACACCAGGTTTCACCTCTCAGCACACAACCCATGCGCCGCTCTTCTCAAGAACCATCACCAGCAAAGCTAGAGGTAAACATAGTAAATAAACATGGTTGTAAGGAGACCGCTGTAGTAAGGGGAAAGGCTGCTCTGAAGAGCAGGTGTGAGGCTCTTGGAGGGAGAAGTGCTTAAATGCAGCTCAGGTGGGAGGGAACTACTGAAAAAGGCTCAGAAACCAGAGCACTCCAACAGCAGGGTGAAGGAGCAGCGTTCAGGCTGCCTGGCACAAGGTGGAGAATGAGGTGGAAGGAATAACATGTACCTTAACTCTTCATTCTTTTGACTTTCAGGTGTTTGAGTGGGGAGGTACCTTCAGAAGTTTGTTTTCCAGAAGACACTGTGGGGCAACCTTATCTCTGTCTTAATTCCCTGCCCACCCTGCCCCTAAAAATCAGACCCCAAACATGAATTAATCTTTTTAAATGCAAGAGACATTTCCTATAAGAGCAAACAACTCTATTTTAGGCCTGAAGTTCATTGTCTCTGGGTAGCCAGGGCAACATTTGGAGTGCAGACACATCACAGTATGGTCAGGTCAAACCAAAGACATGGCCTGTGTCCGAGATCTGGACATTTTCATCATGCACAGCCACAGTAAAGAACTGAGCACATCCCTCTGTCTCCATCACCTGAAGCATCTGCCTGCTCCTTCTGGGGCGACATTAGAAGCCTCTAAGCGCAGCAAAGGAGCTCCTGGGTGTCAGAATTCACCATGCTACTTTCTCTGACTCCTTGTGAGCAGCATCTGACGAAGGAGCCAAAACCATGAATTAAATTCCTCCTGCTACCCCCTGCACCTGCCTGACTTCAGAGTCCTGTTAGAAACTCTGAGGAGGAAGCACCCCTTCTTGCTCCAGCTGCCCAGCCACAGAGGAAACGGGATCAAGAAACCAATCTGGGCTTAAAATACTCAATCGTTGCTGCTTCCCTGCCTGGCTTCAGAATAAGCTGCAGCAGCAGAGCTGATGGGGCACTGCAGAGTTCACATAGCTAAGACCTGCTCCCAGAAACCCTGGGGAGAGGTGAGAAGCACCCCGCACACTTCAAGAAGATCTTACCAACTGGTTAAGGACAATACCAAGATGAAAAGCAGGCAAAGACCTAGAAGGAGCGTCCCCTTCATTTGTGTTCTGTAACACAAAGAAGCACAGTCTTTGTTTTATCATTAGGCCATAAAGTACAATGATGAAATGAAACCCAGATTAGTCTAAAAACTATCAGCAGCTTTTACAGAGATTATCACCCAGAAATCAGGGGGAGAGGGCTGATGGAGGTCATGGTTTCCATGACTCCCTGGGACAGCAAATGGAGATGTGGAAAGAATCAGTAACTCAAGTGTAACTGCCAGGGCTGATTGCAAAACTCTGGAAGAAAAGAGGCCACTGAGTGCAAGTGTATTTTGAACACTCATTAGGGGAGTGAAGCATCCTTTCCTCCTGCAAGAACAAGAAAAGCAGAAGCATTCTGCTCCTCTTCCCTAAAAACACTCCCGGTCACCGTTACAGCTTCAGAGTTGAGTTTCCCTTTTTTTGCAGCAAGGGGGTTAACCTTTTCCAACCTGATCCAACCAGTAAGCAGGAATTATCTCACCTGACAATCAGCTGGGGCTGTTTTCTAAAGACCCCCCCCCTCGCACAGCACACAGCCCACGTGCCAGCAGTGTGGTTAACAGTTTGCCTTCCTCACGCAAAGCAGCTGGACACAGGAACGGAACTCAGTGACCACCATCCTTTTGAACGTGTTACTCTTGTCATGGACGCGGTTCAGGCAGCAAAATCGCATTATGCTTCGTCAGAAGAGAAAACAAAAGCTGAGAGGCTATGGTTGGAGCCGCAGGGAGCAGCTAACAGCCAGAAGTCAGACCAATGTGATTGTAAGCTTGCAGGTCAAAGTCCAGAGAGAGGCTGGCTTAGACTTGTGCTGAACTGCAAGCCAGCACTGCCCGCTAGCTCCCTAACCTGCAGCATCCCCTGGCACATGAAGCGTGGTGAGGGGAGAACTTCTGCCGAGGTTGTCTCATCTGTGCAGCCTCTAGCAGCACCCCTCACCTCAAAAAGCTTCCCAAACTAAACCTTCTCTAACCAGAGGCCTTCCAGCAAGACCACGGGCACTTCATCACGGCAAGGAGAGCATCACACAGCCCCGCTCCCAGCCACGAGCAGCGCTCGGTAGGAGCTAACACCGTGCTCGGCTCTGCTCAAGCGCCCCGGTCCCTTCGCACCCCCTCAAGTCACCGCTTTCACCCAGGAGCCCAGGGAGAGCAGCCCTGGCAGGCGGCGAAGGGCGCCCGGAAGCGGATGACACCGCTCGCTATAATTAGGCACAGCGAGCCCGACGGGGCTTCCACCCGGCAGGCGGGGAAGCAACCCGGGGCAAGACGCGAAGCCACCTCTGCGTGCTGCCAGCAGTGCGGGGAGGGGGTACCGGGGGTACCGGGAGCCTTACGGGTCGCGGCCGACGCCGGCATCGCGCTCGAGGAGGACGATGTGCCGCGGGTAGTGGGCGCAGACCTCGCCGTGCGCGTTGGAGATGACGCTGTAGCGGTAGTCGCGGCCGAAGAGCTCCAGGCACCGCCGCTCGATCCGATCCACCTGCACACAGACACCGGTCAGCGCCCGCCGCACCGGACCCCGGTCCCCGCTGTAACCCACGTCCCCCAGTGCCGGGGCCCCTCACCTTAGCGGCGGCGGCGCCCCCGCCGTCCTTGGCGCGGTACTGAGCCCGGGAGAACTCGAGCAGCAGCTCGGCCAGGGCGCGGTCCCCGCAGCCCGCCGGGGGGCAGCCGCGGGCCGCCGCCATCCCGCGCCGCTCACCGCCGCCGGCCCATGGCGCCGCCCCGCCCGCAGCCGCCGTTGCTTCCGCCCGCTCGCCCAGTCACCGGCAGCGCAGCTGCCACGCTTCTTCCGTCCGCCAGCGGCGTCATCCGGGTGCGACGGCCGCGCTCTCGGTGCGCTCCGCTCCGCGCTCACCGGTGCTACCGCCCTCCGCCGGGGTGGGAACGGGTCCCGCGAGGGCCCCGGCGGAGAGGTGCTCTGTGGAAGGCCTGGAGCCACGGGACGAGCGGGACCCGGCCGGGGAGCGGGCTGTGCTCCCCGTGCTCCCCGGCACCGGGAGCTGGGGGACGCCGAGGCTTTGCGCAAACCGCGTTTAGGACCGCGGAGGGACGGGGCGAAGTTGGTCGGGCCCCGGGGGAGGAACCCGAACCGGCCGCTCGGGGTGGGAGTGCAGGCATGAAGCCGGTGGCAGCTGCCGGGTGAGCGGCAGCACCGGCAAAGCGGTGCGGGCGCTAGCTGGGACTCCTTGTACCGAGTTAGCGGCCGTCGCTGTCCCGCACCGGGCGGGCGGCTCCGTTGCGGGAGAATACAACGAGTTTTTCACTCTGCATGTGTCTGCTTTGTAAATCTGCCGCGAACCTTGGCAGGACGGGGGAGAGAATGGAGCAGCTCGTGAAAGCGGAGTTCAGCCACTGCACACCGGCCACGGGCTGTCCGGTACCCGTGTGTTGGGCCGGCGGGGAGGGTTTGCGGGGCACCTGCCAGCGTACATCACCAGGGAGCACATCACCACCGGGCCACACGAGAGGCCCCGGACCGGCTCCCGCTGCTCCCAGCGCCTCTACAAGCACGTTGGCACCGACCGAGTTGCACCGGCCCCACCAAGCGGCTCCAGGAGCCGCCCCCCCCTCCACCGGGGGCTTCTCCTCCCGGAGCACGAGCGGTCACGCGTGTACACCGTGAAGGCACAGGGTGGCAGAGCAGCCGCCACCGGGCGGGGCTGCGCCGGGGACCGGCCCTGATGGAGCGGGGGTAGCGGAACCTCCGCTTCAGCCCCACTGATGCGACCCCCTCCGAGCCTTGCCGAGGCGGCCCGAATAGAGCCGAAAGTTACCGAGCGCGCTCCGAACCGCACCGGGGAGCGGCCCGAACCCCTCCGAGCCCTCGGCGGGCGGAGCCGAAGCGGTCCGCTTCCCCTCGGGGCGCGCGCGGCAGCCTCGCCTCTCGGCTCGTCTCCGCAGTGGGGGGGAAGGCGCGCACCCGCGGGGGCGCGCACGGGGCGCAGAGGCGGCAGCCAAGATGGCGGCGCGGGTGGCGCAGGGGCCGGCAGCCCGCGGGCGCGCCTAGGCCGCGGGCCCCCCCCTCCTTTATCCCCTTACGCCGGGGCGGGCTCCCCGCTGCCGAGCCCCCCCCCCCCCCCCCCCGGTCCCCCGGCCCCACCACCGGCAGGATGCTGCCCTCGCAGGAAGCCTCCAAGCTGTACCATGACAACTACGTGCGGAACTCGCGCGCCATCGGCGTGCTGTGGGCCATCTTCACCATCTGCTTCGCCATCATCAACGTGGTGGTCTTCATCCAGCCTTACTGGGTGGGAGACAGCGTCAACACGCCCAAGCCCGGTTACTTCGGGCTGTTCCACTACTGTGTGGGCAGCGGGCTGGCGGGCCGGGAGCTGTCGTGCCGCGGCTCCTTCACCGACTTCAGCACCATCCCCTCGGGCGCCTTCCAGGCGGCGGCCTTCTTCGTGCTGCTGTCCATGGTGCTGACGCTGGGCTGCATCACCTGCTTCGCCCTCTTCTTCTTCTGCAACACCGCCACCGTCTACAAGATCTGCGCCTGGATGCAGCTGCTGGCAGGTACCCCCCGGCACCGGGCACCGGGCGAGGGGCGTGGGACAGCGGCGGAGGGTGCTGGCACCCCCCGGGAGCCGCATAAAGGGAACACCAAGGTTGCTCAAGGAAGCTGGGCAAGGGCCAAGCGATGCGGGGATGTGGTTCCAGGAAATAGCTCCCGGGCTTCCTGGGACACCCAGGTCAGGGACTAGCACTGACTGAGCGCCGGGAATGGGTGCTCAGGGCACCGGCACTCGGGGCTCCCCAAGCACTGGTGTCAGGGCCTGTGGCTTAATGAAGCTGGGCTGGGTATGATTACTGTGGATCCATAGGGCATGCCAGCCAGGAAGTGGCCCAAGAACACCCCAGGGCTTCCTGAGACACACAGGCCAGGCACTAGCACTGACTGAGCACCAGGAACTGACACCAGTTTAGGGCACTGGCACCCAGGGCTCCACAGGGAAGCCCAGTGGGAAAGCTGGATCAGGGACCCACCTCAGAACAGGCACCAGCCCCGGGGTGTGTGGACAGGCTGGAGGACCTGAGGACAGCCAGGCCAGGCACTGCATTTGGAGCGCGCTGTTACACCCAAGCCAGGAACCAGCCTTGGGGTACCCTGCAATGACTGTCCCACGGAGTCAAGGACCAGCTGCAAGGATGCCTTTGGACACCCTGGACCTAGGACCAGCAGTCCCCTGGGGACCCAGACCCCCAGGGCACCCCACATCAGAGACTGGTCTCCCTGTCTGCCCAGCCCCAAGGGCATCCCTGAGCAAGTCCACCCCCAGGGAAACCCCCAGCTCCTGAAGTGACCCCATCACTGGCAGGAGCCCATGCATGGACCCCCCCAGCCCTTTAAAGCACCTGTGCAAAGACAGACCCTTCAGCTCCTGCTTAAAGAGATGCTGTGCTTGGTCACCCTCCCTCCAGCATCATGAATGGGCTGTGAGAACAGACCTTCCCGAGCCCCCTTCATAAAGAGACCCTAGGTACAGCACTTCCCACAGACACACCACGCCTTGATGTCCCTCAGAAGTGATAACAGGCTCAAGCCCAGTTATTCCCACCAGAAGTGGCCCTGTCTATAGATCCTCTTTAGCTCCCTCTACATAAACTCCACCATAGATGGGGTTTCATAGTTGGGGTACCCCAACACCCTCATAGACTCAGTCCTCAAAGCAACACCATATGACAGCCCAAACTTTTCTCCAGAAGGGGACTTGATGCATATATTGGTAAGGATCTCAAGCATCCTGCTATGCACAGACCTCCAGGCTGTCCTCACTGAGGGTCTCTTTTGGGAGAAACTCCCTGAGAAAAGACCCTTCACTTCCTTCTTTCTCCAGTTTTACCACCTGTGGAAAGACATTGTGTGTGTGTTACTCCCTAGCGCACACAAAGTGTCAACAGAGGCAGAGCTTCCACCAGAAGGGCTCAGAGCCCCCCATATTCCTAATGAAAGGACCCCCGTCCCTCTCCCTGGGAGAAGGACCCCAGCCATTGCTGTTGGAGGACACAGCCCCCCATGCTGGAAACCTGTGCTGGAAAGCCTGCCCTCTCCTCACCCCGGTCAGGACCACAGCCAGACCTTGGGCTTATCAGGAAATTCCATCATCTTTAATTTTCCCTGCCCTGAAGATTTACCAGTTTAAGGCAAGCTCAGAGCCCAAATCCTACTGATTGCCAGCAGCTTAATCAAGTGGCTTGGAGCTGATGCTGCTGGACAGGGAGCTCTATGGCAGAGGACACTGCACTGAAGGCAGCTTTGGGCTTCCTGCCCCAGCTCAGCACCCTGCTGTGTCACCTGTGGGTGCCCCTTGCGCTGCCCTCAGCCTTGTCCCTGCACACACTTTGCACCTTGTGGCTCACTTGCATTGCTCACAACTGCACTTGTGAGAACCCTGAGTATGTGGCTCGGAGCAGCACAGACACATGGCCTGCGTGTGCTGGGGAAAGTAAAGGCAGCATTTGTAGAATCATGGAATCAACCAGGTTGGAAAATACCTTTAAGATCAAGAAGTCCAACCATTCCCAGCACTGCCAAGGCCACCACTAACCCATGGCACTGAGGCCTCGTCTCCATGGTGTGTGAACACTTGCAGGGACGGTGACTGCAGCCCTGCTCCATCTAAACCTGCGCTGGGGCAGCTTGAGGCCATTTCCTCTTGCCCCATCCCTTGTTCCTTGGGAGCAGAGCCCAGCCCCTCCTGGCTCCATCCTCCTGCCAGACAGTTGTAGGGAGCAATAAGGTCCCCCCCAAGCCTTCTCCAGACTGAGCCCCACAGGTCCCTCCATTCCCCATCACACTTGTGCTACAGGCTCTACACCAGCTCCGTTGCCCTTCTCTGGCCCTGCTCCATTAACAGAGACTGGCCATCCACCCTGCCCTGAGATGCTGAGGGTGCTTCTGTCCTGCAGCAGGGGCTGGTGTCACCACCAGGAAGGGCCAGGACACAGAGGCAGTGGTGTGTCTTGGCCAGAGGGAGCCTTGTCTTGGAGGGGGCGGGCAGGGCTGAGCTTCCTGGGCCTTTCAGAGGCAGCTGCAGCTGGGTGTTACCTTGTGCATGGAGAAGGAGCTGCTGTGACCCATGGAGAGGACACCATGGACTAAATCACATGGATAAGGCAGGGGTGTTGCCCAATGCAGGGCCTGGCACAGTGTAATGTCCAGCTTTGGCTATTCACCTGCCTTGGGAGGCTGGAGGGATGTGCCAGAGCAGAGGGCTTAGAGAAGGGCTGGAGGAGAACTTGGCACCATTACAGCAGAAGCAACAACGAGGCCTAAAGTTTCATGGTCTCACTGGTGAAAACCAGGTTAACGAGGTGCAAGGCAGAGAGCTGGGGCAGAGGTGGGTCCATCCTGTCCCTATGGGGTGGCCAGTGCAGAATACAGGGCTGCTGAGTGGGAAGACTTCAGAGTAGGAAAACCAAGAGCAGGAAGGGGGCAGGAGGATGAGGATGGGGAATTCAGTATCTCTTTCAGAAAAAGACAAGGTTTAAATCATCAATGTCTAATTAGTGGACCACAGTCAAGGAAGGGTTTAATTAGAGCTTCACAGAAAGCTCCAGCTCAAAAGCCACTGCCCCCCAGGAGGGAACTGGATCTAATTAAGAGGAAAGAGTGTGCTTTAGCGCAGATAGCGCAGCCATCTGCCCTCTGCAAATCCCAGGAACACCAAACTGGAGATTTCCCTAAATCTCTCTGTTATAAAACAGAAACGGGCCTTTAACATAAGCACGTCAACAGCTGCATGACTGACAGTGCCCTGGTGCCACCCCAGGCCTCTATACTCGGAGATGGGGATGGTGCTTACTTGAAGAGAAATGGGCTGGGAAGGTGATCCCGCTTGTCTGCCCTCCATGGAGGGCAGGGACAGGGGCTGGGCTGGTTCTGTGGGTGCCTGTGTTTGAAGGACCTCATAGGAGTCATCTCCTGGAGTCCAGAGCACGGGAATACACCATAACCAGCACCACATCCTGAGGCTCACCCTGCGTGGCTCTAGGGCTCTGTTTTCAGGAGGGCTTTGGGTTTGTACTTACAGTCTAGTGGGGGTCAGAAGAGGCAGCCAGCTGAGCACACGGGTCCCTCGTAGCATGGAGAGAGCGACTGGCCACTTCTGAAGGTGTTTCCCTGCCTTTCAGGTCCATCAGTCAATGATGAGACCCTCAGGCCAGGCACAAGCACAACACATTCTGTGTCACTGGCCATAGAGCTGGGGTTTGTCTTTATCAGCAGCACTTTGGAGCTAATTGTGCCATCAGAGACCTTGCAGTGTGATAATACATCAGCATCTCAGCCCTCTCCTCCTGTGGGCCAACCCCTCTGGAGTTATACTCACTTCTTAGCTGGGCCCTTCCCACCCAGCAGCGTGTGAAGCAGGAGCAGGGGCTGATCCTTGATCAATGGCTTTATCTTCTTCACCTGAGCTGCATTTGCCACCATCTGAGTGGGGCCCCCTCACATTGTGCAGCTGCACAGCATCGTTTTGGCATGTCTGTGGAGAGGTTAGGACTTGTTTTCATGGATGTGAAAGTCCTAACAAAATATGAAATGGTGTGATATGAATATGAAATTCTAATGAAAAAGTGGATGACAGATAACCACTGCTCCAAACAGCTAGGAGGTACCTGGGATAGCTGCTGGGGTTGAGGGTGAAGTAGCCTCAAGCCCTTTCTCTGCCCAAAGCAGAAATAAAGCCAATAAATGGTCTTTGAGCTTCCCTCTGCCCACCCTGCAGCAAAAAGGAGGCATCACTTTAAAAAAAAACCTTTGCATGTACTGAAATACCAGCTTCTGGCCCCAGAAAACCTTTCCTGAAGTTCCCCCTTCTGCTTCCCCTGTCGTGCAGCAGCAATGGGAGCGCAGCCTTCGATGCTTCAGGCACCGGGAGGCAGCATGACCCTCCCATAGTAGCTGTTAAGGTGCCTGTGGCGCCGCAGGGAAGGACTGAACCTCTGATGTCCTGGAGCTGACATCCCATAACTGTTATTCCAGATAAAGTAACTGTCAGTTCGGATTCATACCACCTCCTAACTCCATTCTGAATCCTGCTCAGGTTTTGGCTCGCAAACAGGCTGTGGAGCAGCGTGCCTTGAGGGAGCTGCTGTCTGTGTAAATGGCTGGGGTTGGCCATCCCAAGCATGCTGCCTTTGGGTTTCATTTAGCTGGGAGGGGGTTCTATTTTTAGGATGGGGGGAAAGGAGGGAGGAAAGCTCTGTTTGTTCCCTTTCCTTTCAGTGCTCAGCTCTCAGGAGGTTTCCTATATGAAGCAGGTACTCCAGACCCCAAAGGCACATCCCATCCCCTGTTCCCCAGGGATTCAGGGCTGCTGTGCAGCACCCAGGGGCACCAGGGCTTGGCAGTCATGGGGTAAAGGTGGGACTTGATCATCTTAAAGGTCTTTTCCAACCTGGTTGATTCCATGTTGGGGATCTCCAGTGGGGACCCCGCATGTGCTGATAGCACAGCAACGCAGCGAGTAGCTGTGGGCATGTGGCACACAGAGCTTCCCTTTGGCACAAGGTAAATATGAGGGGCTGGGGGTCACCCAACTACCCCTGGCAGGGAGATGTGACTGCAGTGAAGGTGGGAGTGATGTGCCTGAGGGCAGGGGGCAGCCACTGAGCCTGAGGGAGGATGAGCCTGTGTGCCCAAGCCAGGCACTCAGCAAAGGTGGGTTACTCACAGTCCGCATCAGCTACACACACCTGCCACCGAGGGATGCTGTCCTGCCAGGAGGAGCCTCCTCATCTCTCTGCTGAAATCCCCCTCCAGTGTTGCAGCCTAAGTCATGACACTGAATTCCCTTCAATTGATTTCTTTTACAAGGATATCAAAAGCCCTTGAGGGGCCCAGTTCATTTGTAAGCGACAAGGGAGCACTGAGGAGCCTCAAGCCATGAACCACCTGCAAAACAAGCTAAGAATTACCAGTTTCCCTGGGGCTGAAGCCCCAGCCCCCAGCAGCATCCCTCCCTATACACCCTGCCCCTGTGGGCACCAGAATGCTCAGTCTCAGATCCATCTTTCCAACTGGGAAAACTCTGGAAGAGGGAGTTGGACCCCAGGGCCTAAGGGAGGGATGGCAGCTGTGGTGCATGACAAAGTGCTGGTCCTCAGTGCCACTGCCACAGGGACAGGCACTGCACCCTCACAAGAATGGCAATTTAAAGCAAAATGGGTGGGAGTTGGGTTATTTTGTTCCTCTTTAATAGCAGCAGAAGCCCCATCCTCATGTCCCTCGGACCCACTGCGAGGGGCTCGGTGAGAAGGGCAGCGCCAAGGCCTGTCCACCTCAGGGCTCGTCTCCTTGTCCCTGCTCTCCTCTGTGTCCCTGCACGCTGCAGGCACAGGAAGGTGTTTCCAGGACACAGGCAGCCTGGGGACACGCGGGAAAGGGAATTGCTTGTGACAGAACAGAGAACAGGGAGAGGCTCAGTGCTGGGAACCCGTGGGACGGACGGGAAGAGGAGAGCGGGAGAGGACCTGGTTTGTGCGGCCAGGGAGCTGCTGAGCTTCCCTCGTGGGAAGGGGCCTCAGGTCACCCTCAGGCAGAGGAATCTGGGTACGTGCCCTTGGATGTGCTCCTTTGCCCTGGCAGTGAACAGGCAGGTTCATTCCCTCTGTCAGACAGGAGCTGGGGCACTGCCCCGTGCCCTGGTGCCAGTGCAGAGCAGGCACACAGGGACAGGAGGGACCAGGGCGGGCAGGCACAGCTAGAGCCAGCCCCATCCATCCTGGGCTGCCTGTGCCCATGGCTGCGAGAACCCCCTGCACCGATGCCTCACGTGCTGTGTGTTTCTGAGCTGCTGCTTTCTCCTTTAACCCTGGCTCTGGTGTCCTCCATGCACTAATCCACTGCCTCCTGCATCACTGCCCTGCGAGCCGCGTGTGGGACCTGCTGATGTCCTCTCAGACCCTCACACATGTACCCGTGGTGGCTCTTGGTGACCTCCTGCTTTACCCATGCAGCCAAATCCATCTGGAGCCCTAATAGATGCTCAGAAACACAGAGCAAATACTGATGCAGAGTCTAAAGAACGACCCAGGGGCTGTTGTTGGGCTGCTGGAGGGACCAGCCGAGGGCGGTGCACAAAAGCACAGCGGGTTGGACCGGCACCTGATGATGAGGTTTATATTCTACTTACATTTATGTGCATTCCCCACCCTCTTCCACCCTGGAGCACAGCCCCGTTGTTCTCTGTGCTGACAGGGGCTGTTGCTGAGGGTGCTGCTGCCCAACGTCACTCTCCTGTGGCCTCACCACCCACTTGTGGCTCTTTTCTCCCCACACTGATTCCAGCAGGGCTCTTACAGGCAGTGCCCGTCTCCAGGCTGTCCCTCTGCCATCTAGCTCCAAGGTGCCCTGGTCAGCAGGAGGGACAGGCTGCTCCTCACCCTTTATCACACAGCGCACATCGCTGGGGCTGGTTTCTTTCCAGAGGGGATGGGTTTGGGTTGCTCCGGTCCCAGACGTGGCTGTGTGGGAGCTGCTCCTTGTACAGTGCCAGGGTGGCACCAGGGCTGTGCATGGAGGTACATCAGGGTGTAGAGCTCACCTCTGTCTGCAGCAAAGCTTTTACCAGCAGGTTGGTAACGTGGATGAAGGAGGCAGAACCAGGCAGCAGCAGGCGGGTGCTGTTACGTGCTGGAGCATGGATTCACCTCAGCAGTCCTGCTCTTCCCTTGGGAGAGCGGGCAGTGTGGCTTATTGGGATGCACTGGAGCTGCTCTAAGGTCTCCCCTTAAGGAGCCTTCTCTTCTCCACACTGAACCAGCCCAGCTCTCATCCTGGCTCCAGAGCAAAGCTGCTGCTCACTACTTTATTAACTACTACTTGCTGTAGTTACAAAAGCAAACCTTGCCTCCTTACCTTGACAGTCACGGGCTTCATCTCAGCATTCCCTTCCCATTCATCCCGGTGCTCCCCGACGTCTCCCTGCTCAGCACGGGCTGTGAGGTGTGGATGCTCCTGGTGACAACGACCCTCTCAGCAGGCAGCACTCCTGCCTGCAGCATTCCTGCAGCTCCTGCCCACCTGCAGGAAGCTCGTGGTGATGAGGACAGGCTCAGCACCTGGAATCCCCTTTGATGCTCCCCTTTCCTCTCCCGCTGCAGCGCTCTGCCTGGTGCTGGGCTGCATGATCTTCCCCGACGGCTGGGATGCAGAGACCATACGGGACATGTGCGGGGAGAAGACGGGGAAGTACTCCCTGGGCGACTGCTCCGTGCGCTGGGCTTACATCCTGGCCATCATCGGCATCCTCAACGCCCTCATCCTCTCCTTCCTGGCCTTCGTCCTCGGCAACCGGCAGAACGACCTGCTGCACGAGGAGCTCAAGACAGAGAGCAAAGGTGAGCGCAGCACTGACAGGGGTCCTGCCCCATGGCCATGGAGGCGGGATTCCGGGTGGGAATAGCCCACGGGGGGCTCAGCCCCTCCAGCAGCCTGGTCCCATGGGCAAAGCGAGGGATTGGGCAGGGTGGGAGGGAGCTGTTGCTCCGTGCCTGACACCTTCTCTTCTGCTTCCACAGATTTTGTTGGCACTGCGGTAAGTCCTGTGTGTCCTTGTCCCATCCCTGAACCCTGCCTGTGCTGGGTGGTCTCATCCGGGTGGGATGGGATGGGATGGGGGGACCCCTTGGCTGCGCAGGGCAATGGGGACATGGCCCACGCTGGTGGCACAACGCGGTGGGTCCTGCCCGACACCGGCTCTGCTCTCCCCGCAGAGGATATAGGGCCGAGCGCCCGCAGCAGGACCCTCCTCCCTCGGCCGGCAGCCGGGGCCTGGGCTCCCTCCTCATCCCGCCCTTCATCTGCTGCCAGCGGCCGCACCGCGTCCCGGGGACGTGCCTCCATGTCCACGCCGGCACCTCCATCCCATGCACCCCCAGCGGGGGAGGACGCCCCGACCCCGCTCCCTCCGAGAGCAGCGTCCGACCGCGGCTTCGTTTCGAGGAGAAAACAGAGTTTTTAACAGATTTCTACATCCCCGACCCGCTGCCTCCAGCCCTGCGCGCCCCCCGCGCCCCCCAGCTCCGGGCCCCTTCCTGCTCCCGTTTTGTACAGCTCCGCCATCCTGCCTCCACAGCCAGGGGACCCGGTGGCCGGGATGAGGCTCAGCCCCTACTTTTACGTGTAAATTCATATTCTTTAAACAGGGTAAAGTGACCCGCGCCCCCCCCCCCCCCCCGGGACGCGGTGTTCCCGGTGCGTGGCCACGCCACGGGCTGTGTCCCCCCCCCCCCGCCCCGGCACGGGCACCGCAGGGGCTTCGCTGCCGCCGCTGCTGAATGTAACCCTGGTAAGTGGGAGCAGCCGAACATGCCAACACCCCCCGGGTGGGTGCAGGATCCCCACATCCCACCAAGCCCCTTCCCCGAGCTGGCCGCGGGCTGTTGCCGAACGCCTTCCCCCCTCCATCCCCATACGGTGCTTTTATCTCCACTGGTGACCGGGCGCCCCGGTGTTCCCACCCCTGGCTGCACCCCGCAGGGAGCCGGCAGCCTCCAGCACGACCCAGCCTCCATCGCACACACACAGCACCCAAGAGCCGGCCCCGACACCGGTGCCCACACCGGCACTTGGGACCGTCGTGGTCCTGGCCGCAGGGGGCTCTGGTCGCTGCAGCCCCTGCAATGCAATAAAGTCCTCAGCACCGGCTGCGTCTCAGTGCGAGCGGCCCGGGGCTGTTTGCAGGGCTCCCCGGGGATCGGGGTAGGGGGGGGACCCCTGGCAGGGCTGGACCCAGGCGCTGGGAGCGGAGCAGGAGCGCGGCCACAGGCAGCGGAGCCACTGGGGATGGCCACCAAGGGCGCTGCAGGAGCCACGGCCCAGGGCTGGTGGAGCAGGTAAGTGGTGCCCAAGGGACGGAGCCGTGCCCAGGAACACCGTCTGGGAGCCAAAGTCACCCGGGACGGCGCCGGTGCTGCTGCCAACGGGCTCTGCCAGCCGCGTCCCTCCTCCGGCACCCGGGCATCCCGCTGGAGCGGGGCTGGCGGGAGCCTCGGCAGCGCCCGGGATTTGCCAAGTGGAGAGTGCTGCTGCCGGCTGCATCGGAAACCAAACCAAGGAAGAAAACCCACACGGATCAGTGGAGAAAGGAATACAGTAGCTGTAATATATCTGTATTTTAGTACAAAGTTTGATACGGTGTTTCACAAAACCTTATTGAGAAATATAATTCAAACCAGACTAACTCGGAGGCCTGTGGTGTGAGGAGGAGCGGGACACGGAGCTGAGGAGGAGCAGGAGGTGATGGTTTGAGGGGAGGGTGAAGGACTGGGCCGTGGCACAGCCACATGGGCTCGGAGAGCAGTTGGGGGGTGCCAGAGCTGCGGCGGGGATGGGAGGAGAAGGGGAAGATGAGGATGGGGCTGAGCCTTCATCCACACAGGCTGGCACACAAGGGGAGGGAAAGGGTCTGTCCCACCCCGTGGCAAGGCGAGAGGTGGGGTGGGGGGGTCCCCTCTGTCACTGGGAGTGCTTCATCCCTCCCCATGGAGCACTATGGCTGCTGGCTCACACCTTGCAGTGAGGGTGGTTGAGGCCCTGGTAGGTCCTGCTCCAGGCTCAGGCTTTCTAAAAGGGCAAGAAGCAGGAAAACTGACCCCCCCCCCCAGCCATTCCCCTTGTCCTGTCCCTACAGGCCCTTGTCCAAAGCCCCTCTCCAGGTTTCCTGCAGCCCCTTTAGGCACTGGAGCTGCTCTAAGGCCTCCCCTTAAGGAGCCTTCTCCTCCAGGCCGAACCAGCCCAGCTCTCTTGCCCAGGTAGGAAGCTCAGGGAATTTCCTTCTCCTGCAGCAAACCCTGGCTTTCCCTGGCAAAAGGAAGAGCTGCTCCTATGAGGCTCCATTTACCCTGCAGGGACAGGGGAAAGACACCAACACCCCCCCCAGCTCCCCACCATGGAAAGAAACTCTCAAAAATACCATTTTTTTTTTCAAGTTAAGTATTTTTATTATCAAAATTATTACATCTCTTGTGAAAGTTCAAATGTTACAGCACGGTGTAAAAACTCCACGAGAGGAAGAAGCCTCAGCCCCCACCCTTCCAAGAGCTTTCCGGGGTCCCTCCCTCCTGCCCCACTGCTGCGCCCAAAGGTGCCGGAGCCTTAGGGATGGGCCCCCCCCCATGGCCCCTGGCAGGGCAGAGCCTGCCTGCCCTGTGCCCTGCCCAGCACCGAGGGGGGGGGGGGGGCTGCACCCCCAGGGCTAAGCCGAGTGAAGTTTACACCTATATTATACAGTATAGAGCCACCCGACGGCGCGGTGACAAGTCCCATCCCGACACGCTCACAGCCAGACAGGGTGAGAAAGTTACTCTGTTTGTTTTCAATAGTTTAAGTCTCCCCCTACACCTGATTTTGGGTTGTGAATGCAGAGAAACCTGTAACAGTCCTAAAAAACCAAACAGAAAACAACCGAAAAAACAAAACCCGGAAAGGAAGAAGACTGCGTCTGAAAGGACAGGGCAGACGGACTCACAGCATTATGTTATCCAAGAGAAAGGAGAAGTTCCACTGCAGCACCAGGGATGACACCTGTCATATATTAGCTAACCTACGATGGTTATAACTGAATATAAAATTAGATAAATAAAAACACGCCTGATATTACAGTAAACAAGTGAGAAAGAAGCTGGCAATCGTATGGAATCGAACAGACAGCGCACTGTGTCCGGGTTGGGAATGACATCCCCCAGCACCGCAGCATCACTTGGCTCGCCAAGCATCCCCCATCCCCGGCCACCCCGCAGCACCGCTCCTGCTCACGGAGCGGTGATCCCAGTGCATCCCGGATGCTCTGCAGCGATAGGCACACGCACTCCAACCCCTTCCCTGTCCCTTTCCCCCCCCCACCCCTCCCCGTGCTAAGTTCACATTTGCGGAGGCTCTGTTGTCCTGGAAAAGCTCCGGCCGGGAGCGTGCGCTCGTCTGCTCGTCACTGGAATGATCGTAACGGATTTGAAGCCCTCCCCAGCCCGCACCGAGAACCTGACCTATGGAGAGAGCTTTGGGATTTGGAGATCCACTTCCCCCATGGTTTGCCTTGAAAACCGCTTTCGTGTTCAACAAGCCGTCCGTGCTGCATGAGTGACTGTGGCCATGGGCACGGACGAGAGGCAGAGGCTGCACCACAGTCATTGCACTTCAACCACTTGCCTATTTCTTTGCAATGCACCCACGTGCCAGGGAACAGCTTTGCTACAGTCTCTGCCTCAAGAGGAATCCGCCTTCTCCTACAAGGCCAGAGGCCAACTCTGCTCACAAATCTCACCCGTGCGTGTCAGACCTCAGCCTCTGACCCCTGGCACCCCAGCATCGGGTGCAAGCTTCCCCATACTGGCCCAGGAGCCACTTCCAGAGGTGACTGGAAGGAGCTATGGGCAGTTTTGTCCTCCTGGAGTCCAGGCAGCCCTAGGAAAGTCCTGTTTGAGTCTTTACTCCAGAACCTTGGAGCTGCTGAAGTCTGTACTGATGGACACTGCTCCCCCCACGGTGCTGATAGTGTTGTGCACTGGAAATCACTGCCCCCCGGGAGCTCTGGTAGAGCACAGACTGCCCCGAGCTCGGCAGGCTCATAGTCCTCAAGTCTGACTGTAGTGACCTGGCACTTGGGGGGGCAGCGGAGGAGCCCGATGTGCCTGTGCAGGACTGGGAGCCCGACTCGGAGGACAAAGAAGAGTCCACAGCCGTCTGCTGTGCTGGGCTGGCAGCAGCAGGGCAGCTCTTCTTCAGGAGGCTGCTGCTGATGCTGCCAGAGTGCTGCTGGCTGCTGTAATACCCCGAATTCCCTGCAAACAGGGCAGAGGAGTCTGTGGAGACCGAGTGGGCAGGGCTGGAGTAGGAGGTGGTGGAGGAGGAGGAGGAGAGGGATGCTTCTGAGGAACCGTGAGAGAGGCTGTGTCCTGTCCTCTGTGCTGCTGCTCGGTAGCTGTACCCAGGAGACGGAGTAAGGTGTCCTCTGTAGGGGGAGGAGCTCTGCTGGAGAAGGGTCTGGGACTCTGCCTGGGGACTGTCAGACTGCAGGAGCTGAATAAGTCAGTGGAGAGAAGAAAAGGCACGTCAGGCTGACTCCTTCCCATGCCAAGGGTGTTCAGTGGAGCCAGACTGGGAATAACTGGCAGCCAAACCCAGATCCCCCCAAATCCTGTTAAAAGCTTTATTTCAGACTGGGCAGGTAATATAGGAAAGAATTTACCTGGTAGCTGTATCGAGAAGGACTGTAAACTGCTGGTCCTTTGTGGGCTTCTGGAGTGTCTCCTCCTGCTGTGTCTGCAATGTACATGCAAGACATTAAACCTCACCCTCTGAACTCAGATCACAGCCATTCCCTCTCAGCCAACACTGCACACACCCCATCAGCTACAGCTGAAACAAGAGCAGCTTCTTCAGCCACCAGCGTTACAGGAGCTGAAGAACCCCAGCAAAAGGCAGCTGGAAAACACTACCATGTGTAAACCAGCCACAGTGGGAACTGCTGATTGCCTTCTTCCAGGCATGAAGCTCATCTGCCTCAGAGCAGCCTATCTGTACCTGGTGACATCACAGAGACCCAGCCAGGGCTCCCCCAGATGCTCACAAGGATACAAGAGGCAGAAGGCAGTTTCTAAGGACTCATTCTCCACTCGCAGGAATCTCACAGGAGATAGAACTGTCCCTTCCTAAACGCTTGTCAGAAGCATCCTCACAGGTTTTCCTCAAAGGCAGATCCAGACGCTGCCAAAGACGGGTCTGATGCTGCCAAGACTGCCAGCACCCCTTCTGTTCGTTTGGGGATTATGCTTTAGAAGTCAACCGAGCTGCTCCAGTTACTCCCAGACCTCAGAAATGCCTATTTTTAAAACAGGCCAAGATGAGGAAAATGCTTTGAGGTTTGAAGGGCACCAGCAGCACAGTACACACCAATCCCCCTTAGTTAAGTGAGAGAGCAAGAGGAGCAACGCTGCTTCTTGACGGAGCCTTTCTAGCACTTGTATCTTAGAGGGTGGGCAAGCTTCTTGTCCTGTCAGATAACTGAACCTGAACTGGGGCAGGCAAGAAGCACTCGCTGCAAATGACACAGGCACTTTGCCCATGTGTTGTTCAGTTGTTACTACTGTTGTAACCATGGGGTTCAGCTGAGAATGGCGCTTTCTTTAGGAGGGAGTGAAGCTGGTGGAACTGGAAGATCTCACATCAGTTATGTTGCAGCCTAATGAGACAGAGCTGCTCATCCGCAGCATCTCAGGGACTCTCAGCAGCCACGTTTGAAATGCCTCGGTATTAATATCAAATCTATATGACAGATGTATCTCAGTCATGAAAACAGGACACGCTGCCTCCCTCTGCTCTGTACTTGAGCCAGACAGGTCTGGCTCTGCACCAGATGCCCTGGCAGGAGCTTGGTGCCAGCAGTGCCCATGGCTTTGCTGCCTTGTCCTCTCTGTGCTACCTCACAGTTACCAGCGTGGCTAAACAGGGATCTGACAGAGCTGTAGGCTGTGTTGAGGCTCAGAACCCTCCCTGCTTGGGACACAGGACCTGCACAGAGACCAGGGTGTAAAGCTTCCAGCACGTGTCTTGTGCCACCTTCCACCTTCTGAAATGGCATCCAAAGCATCCAGCGGCTGTTTGCTGTGGGTGACGTTCCAAGTGCTGCACTGCAGAACAGCAAAGCCTGGGAGTTTGGGGCGTGCTTTGTTAAGCAGTCATGCACAGAAGACACTGAGAGTTCAGTCTGCAGGAGATGGCTGTGACCAGCGGAAGCCGAGTGTGAGAATCAGAAGGAATCTAAAGAGCTCTAGAAGGACTTGTTTCTGAAGAGGTCAGGCACACCAGCAGGGCTGCACTATTTACTGCAGTGCTGTCCACAAAACACACCTTGATGAGTTAAAGGCTATTGAAAGACAAAGGGCAAATAAACCATAACCTTCCTGAATTTGTCTTATGTAAACTTAAAAGATGAAGCCAACATTTCCCTCACCTACTTCTTCATACCTGCACAAGGAAGGACATAAAGAACTGCTTTTCCTGGCAGTACTGGCCTGGATCTACCCAAAGCCTATATGAAGTGAGAGCTTCAACTAAGAACAACTGCCATTCTCACAAGTATGGCATGCACACTAATTCCATCTCATTCCTACATGCCCCATCAGCAAATCATTCAAATTTGGGGTTTTTAGCTCCCCTCATATTATCATCTGTTACAGCATCAAGTGAACACTTGTGCTCACTTGTGTATTGTGTGTGTAATCAAGTGTGTATTGTCACAACTGCTACAGGTGATACCAGGCATGGCAGGGACTCAGCAACTCACTTGTTTCAGTAAGCAGCAGACCAGCAGCTGGGGGGAGGGAAGGTGGCTCACAAAATCTAAGCAGAATCTAAACCAGCTACTGAAGAAACTGCCCGAGTATGCAAAACAAGAGAATAAAGACGTTTTGCTGCACTAGGATGAAAGAGACAAAAAGACCTTTGTCAGCTGCAGCACTGAGTTTTCACAGCTTGGAGTGGGATGGGTTTTGTGCATCAAGAAATAATGGATCAATGCAGACAAGCATTTAGCTCCAGCCTGGCTCTTGGGTAGGACTGAAAAGGCAGAGCTGTACAGATTACAGCCTGGATTTTGCCTACCCTTCTAAATAGGCCTTACTGCAAATGGTTCAGATCCCTGCTACAGATCATCAGCAAGCTGCAGTCGTATCAGCCAGGAGTGTACCAACAGTCCTCAGCGATGAGGAAGCAGGGGCAGATGGCAACAGACAAAGTTATTCAGATGCAGTGATCCACTGCTCTGAGTCCCTGGTGCAGTCAGGGCTCCGAGGGCACTGTCTGCTAGGTAAAAACAACTGTGTTCAACACAGACTGCAAAATAAACAACAGAAAAATCACTCCATTTCAGAGCTGAGAAACTGGGCAATGATGAAGTGATCTGTCCATCTCCCACAAAGTTACATCTCACCTTTAGCCCACTGATCGGTAACAGAGGGGTATAATTGCAGCTCAAGTCACAAACACTGACCCCGCGGGCTGCTTGGCGAGGACAATGCTTTATTCAGAGAAGAAAGGAACATCAACCAGAACTGAATTGAGTTCAGCACATTTCACACAACTGACAAACATCACAACTCAGGGAATCAATAACTTCAACAAGAGCTGAAGTAAGATTTAGAAGCTAAATTAGTTCTTAGCACTGCCTAAAGCACACACCTGCATTTCACTGCGATAATACATTTATCCGAATGTTCAGCCAGGTAGAGCTATTAAATGCTAGCACTTTTATCCCCAGTAACCAGGGGCAGTTGAGGTAATGCTGCCTAACCCATCTGTCCAAGGACAAAGAAGCTGTCCTTGCCAGAGCAAAGATGCAGGTAAGCCTTGAATCCAAACTCGGGAGAATCCTGGAGGTCCTCCAGGTCCAATAAAAGAGAGACATAGGCTCAATGTGTATCTGAACAGCAATAAAGTATGTGTGAGGCTCTTAGAAGGCATTGACAATGTTACAGTTGAAAGTACAACCAAGTTCACAGAGAAGTTTGCGAAGTTACCTGAGCCCATCACTTCCCACCAGCCAAGCACTCAAAAGGTTCCTCTCCCTACCTGCATCTCTCTCGACGGCACTGTCACGGGTAGGTGAGGATTCGTTTCTCTGGGATACCTTTGCACCACTTCTCAGCACCTTCTCAAGCATCCCCCGGCCCTCTCGAAGCCTCTCCACCGACGTTGGGACCATCCTGCAACAAAACCCCGGTAACAGCTGAGGACTGCCGTGACACAGCTAAGAGTGATGTGACCAACACGCACAGGGGCTGGGGGGTCCTTGGGATAGCTGCAAGACACGTTTGGCTTTGCTTAAATCCATTGGTAAGTGTTAGCGCAAGTACAAACCCCTACCATAAAAGGGACGGAATCAGAGACCACCAGCTCCATAGACAGATGAGGAATAAACTTCTGAACTGCTTTTGCAATGTAAATAACCTCCTGTGGGATTTTCCACTGCCAGTCCCTGGCTCCCATGATAGCGCTGCCCTCAGAAAAACAAAGTCTTTATTCTTATCAAAACCATAAAACACCCAGTTCAGTGGATCAGCAGATTACAGGCCATCTTATCCCAGAAAAAATGTGGGAGATTCAACAGCATTTTGGAAATCCTGGCATTATTTTAAGATTAGTTGCAGTTATTTCACACAGACTACTTGTATTCACCCTAAAAAGAAGCAAACCCAATACCTTTACAGTGTCAAGACAGTACAGTCACACCTACTTTGGCCATTTTGTCCTTCATACTACTTTGTCCCATTTATTTGGTAATGTGAAAACTCTCCACTCAAGATTGGTGCCAGATTTTGTCCCATCCTGTATCACCAGTGTCTGCTCTCAGGGTGAAAAAGAGGTGAAGCAGCTTTCTTAAAGCCAATGTGTAGAAGAAGAAAAGCCACAGCCAAACCCCAGACCCCCAGGTCAACATTCAATCTACCATGCACAGGACCATCCAAATCTCTTTACAAGTATGTCTTTTAACCCATGAGATAGTTACCTTGACCAGGGATTCACAATGCCTTTACCCTAAACACTGAAGAACATGTGCCTTAAGAATGCCTATATTTAAGTATGCATTATTAAATGCACTGCATGCAGCTTAACACCATCTTCACAGATTTCTGTATTTAATTATTTTCTTTTTAAAGGTATACTGAAAACTGTGCTTTCCATCAGCTTTACTTCTTTAAATAAATAGCCCAGACATTAAAATTCACCCCTCACTGAAGCAGAAGGGAGAAGACACCAGAGTTCACACCTCATGGTGGTGAATAGGGTGAGGGGGTGAATTCACATCTTCCTTGCTGCTATTGTTTTGCTGGAGACAGTGTTCTGCAAGGCTGGGTTTACTGGGCAGCAGCACATCTGTTTACATTGTGATGGCTGTATCTTGGCAACTGAAAGAGACAGAAACTTAATTCTTTTTTAAATTGAAAGCTACTGGCAATTATTGTAGAATTCAGCAAAAATTGGGACAATTCAAAAAAAGTAAGGCACGTATTTTTAGTTCCCACCCTTTCCTTCTGTCCCTGATATTATCCTATTGTGAATGTCTGGGAATGTACCTGGAATGTAGGCACTTAAAGATGCAACTGGGTCACAACTTTAACTCTGTTACATGCAGTTCCTAATATAGCTTTTTAAGTAGAAGGTGACTGTACATTTGTTAGCCTTGCCCATTAAAACACAGAAGAATAAGAACTTAAAAGGCACCAAAACTGCTTCATCCCATTTCAAAACATCGCAGCATGGCTCCAACTTTATATCCAGGGTCCTGTAACAATACAATCTTTATTCCCACACAATACTTACTCATGAAACCATGTGAGAAACTGAAGCCAGAGCACCTGCTGATGAGCAACAGATGAAGCTTGGAATATAAAACATGGTACTAGAGCAAGGCTGCCACACCAACACCTCACCCTGAGCTATTATTTTTTCCCATTCAAGGTTTTTCTTTCACCTTTTTACAGGCAGAAAAAAGCGGCACAGGAGGAGAAGGACACGGGTTATCAATGCTTGCACAGGATAAAACTTGATTATAAAATAATGATTATAAGCTAATCATCAGCCTCAGCTGTGGCAAATCCCAACATCTGGCAGAAGGTCATCTGGTAGACAGAGTACTGACAAATTATTTCTATTAGTCTCTGCTTGAAGAGTGATAAAGAAGTGAAAGAAACAGATCTCACTGCTCCTGCAAATCCACCCAAATGAATGTTTCTCAGGCGCTTTTAACACAGACATCCTCCTCCTCACTGCCTTCAGCATTGCTTTGCATCTCCTTCCCTTGCCACCCCCCACCATTACATGAGCAGTGGCACAGCTGCCTGTGTGGAGATCAGCATTAAGAAAGTTCTGCCTTTTAGCCTGTGGTGTGCAGGAACAGAACTTGAATACAAAGCAGCAGAGCCAGTGTACTACATCAGTCCGCACAACATCTTAACCATCACTGCAGTGACACTATAGAATGAAACACTCTGCATTCCAGTGCTGCAGTACTTCATTCTTTGGACCAGACATTATTACCGGGTTCAAAAGGTTTTGAAGACCAGCCTTTCCCCTTATCAAACCTTCTTACTGTAACATGATAAAGGTGTGTTTCCCACGCCTTTGGCAAGTCACTGACTGCCAACTGCTCTTCAAGCTGTATGTGCAAGGCATTAGGAAAACTGGAGCTGTTTCACTGTCCCTGCTTCTCACATGTCAAGTTGCAGAGGGCTCTGTTAGCCTTCCTTCTGAGTAGGAGCTGATTTAGTATCACTCAGGTTCAAGAAGACCAGACCTGGATTAAATTCTCATTGCATGGATAAGACCTTCAAACCTGAGACTTTAAAAGGAAAGTGGTGAAAGAGTCAACTCTTTATCTTTGTATCTTTCAAAGACAGTTTTTGATACCTAAACCAAGAAGTAAAGGGCAGGCTGAGAAAGCTGCTTGTACCCTTCACAGTTGCTTAGCAATTACGAAAGAGAACAAAGCCAAGAGACCCGACTGAATCCATCCACATGCAGACATTGTTATGGACATGCCCCCTACAGAGTTTGGTCCTCCTCTGTGGAGGAACCTCAGGCTTGCTTGGAAGGATAACACTCACCACCTACTGCTGATGTTCTCCTGGGATTTGCTGAGTGACGATGAGGAACTAGCCCCCCTTGAGTCTGGTGGGCTGATGTCCTCTACGTGAGGCAGGGAGGGATGAGAAGGGGAGAAGCCACTGTGTGGGGAGGATGGGGTTCGTACTGCGGAGCTGTTGCCATCTGTGTCAGTCACAGAGCTGTTGCTGCCCTGTCGCGTGGGAGTCCCTGTACATCGCATGGAATCACTTCCCTCCTTGGCTTCTTGTTTCCGCTTGCGGTACTCTAATAGAGATACCTTGAAGAGAAAAATGCAGCCATGAGTCTGGGAATGCAATGGACTGGGAGAGGGGGAGGAACAAGCCCCAAACCCATTTTAAAAATCTTTTTCTCTGGTTTGCAGATAAAACTTTAAAAGGTTTGTTGGGATTATAAAATCTTCCTGAATCAGCTCTTTTACTGGTGTGCCTGGAAAGTGGTACAGATCTGGACCACTCACCGACTGCCACGCTCACCCACATTGCACCAGCATACGACCAGTACTTCAGACTGCTTCTCTAACAACCTGGGATTTCACATTACTTCAGTACATGCTTGTATATTCAACCATCAAGCCTCTCTACCCTCCTCCTCTCAACACCCTTCTTTGAGCGGGTTCCTGCTATGGTGGTATTGCAAACTGCCAGTATTAACCCTTAAAAAACAGCCTACTTTTAGTAAATGTAGACTGTAGACTGTGCAAAACACTCTCAGCTTTGTCAAAGACACAAACCCAAAGGTCCCGGATAACACAATCTCCTAACACAGGGACAGCAGAGCCAAAAATATGTATGTATATATAGATGAGCACTTACCTTTCAGTGTGCCTTCCCCTTAAGAGTTATTATGAGGTGCAGAGACATAAAGGAATTACAGAAGGCAGCTCTGCTGTACAATTTATCAACTATGACCAAATGACTGCACAAAAAGCTTTACAATACCAAAATGTTGAAGAGGGTACTTCCAAATTAACTCAACATATGAAGGTTTTAAGTATAACTTGGAAAAAAATCAAAATGCTCTAGAAATGGAATAGAAATAAGACATTCCATTCAGCTGGACACTTACACAAGTGATCTGAGTTAGAAACCAATACACATTTGTTTTCTTTAAACACTACTCCTGTAGTTTTACTTTTAAAGAGCCAAAATTTAAGTAACAACCTTCACCTACTTTTCTTGCCATGTTACTGTTTCCATAGTAATGGCCTAATATGTTTTAATAAACAGCCTATGTTTTCTTTTCAAACATTAGATCCAGTAAGAACTCTTTCCACCCTGGTAAATAACACCTCCACCAACTAGTACAGCTGCTCTGTTATTCCTCTGGGTCTCATCTCAGTTGAACAACTCCCAGAAGAGGTACTTTCATGGTGAACTTTTTCTTTCACCTCTCATATCAAAATCCTGCCTAAAGGGCAGCTCACTCTCTTAACAACATTTAGATTACTTTCATCCAGGCACTGGCTGCTTGGATTACTTGCCCAGACTATATTTTAGTTGTATTCTGCTCTCTTTGTTCTCCCTGTAAGTCTTTCCATGGTGCTTACTGTTTGTTCCCACTCAGGTTCCTACAACCTAAGACTTCCTTTTACAGGAATACTTGCCTTCTTCCTTTGTGGAGGATTCTGAGGAGCCGATCTGACACCTTCACAAGCCCTCTCGCCGCACGGTGACATGGATCCATGCACTGTCTCTTTAAGCAGCCCTGACTCGTGTCTGCTGAAATACCCTTCAGCAGGAGAGCTGCAGCATCCTGCTTCCGAATTCACTGGCTTCCTCTCCCCCAAAGGAGGAGATCCCTGCAACAACCCATCCACACGTGGCATAGCGTTCAATGGGGAGAAGGCATACATTAAATTAAACTCTGTCCGAAAAGCCTGATCAGAGCTTCGTAGCAGCATCTGTGCTTCCCCACTTTTCCCTGGGAAGTTCATCTCTGAAGTAGAGTTTATGGAGGGTTGTGGAGCCAGATCAGAGGATCCAAAGTTGAGCAGCAATGGCCGTTCTGGGCAAGTGTTTGCACTGGAATCCACGTACCCACCCTTCAAATCCAAGTCGGATCGGACGCAGAGCTGGAAAATCCAAGAAGGATATAGGAGGAGGTGGAAAGTCAGGGAAAGGGTCAAGCAAGGGTAGGGAGAGAAAATTAAGTCAGAAAGTGCTCTGTACAATGCTAGCTTACTGCTTCTCAGTTCCTTTTCGATCCCCCTTTGGCCCTTTCCTACACTATTTCACTCATTCTACAAGGAGTGATTGAAACTAAGAATCAGTTTAGCTGTCCAGTGCAAGGTAGCCTTTGTCCTTTAGCAGTTCTACTGCAGCAAGAGAATAAGGGTCAGCACTATGCCCGAGCAGTCAATGAAGAAAAAAAACCATTTTCACAATGGTCTCATATGTCCCAAAGTTGATGGCAAAGCAGAATACTTCAGGGTTCATTTTGGGGAGAAACCAGAAAGATCTGCTGTCCATTTGTTGTTCTATTAGCCAATTCCTGGCTGTCCCAAGTCAGCCACTACTAACTTCCTAACAATAAAATGACCAGGATATCCAAGCCATTTGTTTTCACTTATTGTGAGCTTTGGAAATCTCTAACAATAGTACATTCATTTAATTTATACTGCATTTCTACATGTTACATCTCTAACAAAACCATAGTGGCATCATCTTTGTGCTATCACAGTTTCCGGAGCACTAGGCACTGATACAACAGTATCTCCATTTATCTGCTTGTAGTGCCAAAAACCCTCCAGGGCAACTGCATAATCATCTCCTTCACCATGTTAATATGTCAGGATCTCAGACAATGAGCATAACTGACACGATTTCATCCTCTTTGCAGGACTACAGTGCTTAGGGAAAAACACAGCAGCAAAAGGCACCAGCTCTGCCCTACTGCTGCTGCTGCGAATGTTTCCTCTGCTCATTGGAGATGAGCACATACTTTCTGCAATGAAACAGGCTCTGAGTACTTCACCTCATGTTTTGCAACAGGCCAACAGGTAAACAAAATCCTACTTTCTGGCATCACCTCAACGTTTTAAAGTCTGCAAGTGAACAGGTGATAAATGCAGGCTGAAGGGAGCAGGTCAGGTGCACCACTGTGTCCTCCTAACTCAAAACTAGTCTCAAATGCTTTCCCTTTTCTCCCCCCATAGGCATTTTGCTGCCACTGAGTAAATATCACACAGCACTTATCTGCTGGGCTGGAGCTGAAGTTGATGATGGTAATTTCAGGGTTGTTAGACCTCTTGCCTTCACCTTAGTAGCTGAGACATACCAAGACCCCACACTGGCTGTTTCCCATCAGTGCCAAGTGAATAATAAATTTCAGTCCTCAGTTTGTTTGCTCTTTTGTGATAACCCTGAAAACTTTCCTCAGCCTTATTGTGATTAATGCTCTGCCTTTATTCCCACTCACCTCCACACTCCTCACCCCTTCCCTCCCACCACAGCCTCAATACACACACAAGCACACACACAGTGGCCTCAAATGTAATCAAGACAGTGTGGTAACTACCTCGGGTGACATGGACTCAGGCCTGTGCGCAGGGGAATTCTCAGGGGAGGAGACGTTCTAGAGAGGAGAAAAGCATCTCGTTATTCATCTACTTAAGTCAAGAAGCAAAATAAATTAATGAAAAAACAAGCAAAGAGGTAAGCAATGGCTATTCTAAACAGAGTATCCAGGAAACAGCCTGGGATGACAACTCCATCCATAAAGTAGTTTCTAAAGCTTCCTGGAAGCACAGAGACAGGACTGGGCTACTGTGCTTCATGCTATAACTTAGTACCCAAAACAGAACACAAATGTTAAGAAAAGCATCTTATTCTTTGTATTCCTCATGACGTCAGATAAGTGTTTGCACCATGAAATATAGAGAAAGCCATTTACAGCATTCAGTCTGAGAACAAGGCAGAAAGGAAAGGCTGGGTTTCCCCAAAAGGTGAAATAAGATCTCCAAAACACTATAGTGAACTTCCACAGACATTCTACTAGCCACGTTGGCACAGAGATCTGGAGTGGGGAAGATGACTAAAGAACACTGAAAAGCCTGCAAAATTTGGGAGCTACTGGGCAGAAGTGGAGAAGAGAATGATACCAATGTTATAAAGGTAGCTACAAAGTGAAGGGAGGCTGGGCTGCAGCAGGGTTTGACCAGAGCAGGAATTCTGGCCAGAAATGGAGTAGAGGAGAAAGGCAGCAGTGCTCGAGTGATGCTGCCCAGCAACATAACCACATTGTCAGAAAGGAAGGTGTCTATAGTGCTACCTCTGCTGCAAATACCCCAGTTTCATACTTTTTAGCACTCTCAGTCCCTGGTCAGATTTACCTCGAACTGTAGTGGAGTATTGCAGCGACTAGCAGCCAGAGAAGGAATCGGTGAGAACATGATGCCATAACCATTGCGACTCTCCTCCTCTCCCGGCAGTGATGAGCTCGGTGTAGCCAGCTGTGGGCTCGCTGAGCCAGGAACTGGAGGGATGGGAGGTGGAGGGGTGACGGGAGACAGCGGCCTCAGCAACTTCTTCACATTCTGCTCCATCAAGTAGCGAGACTTCCATTTCTTCAGGGGACTCAGCAAGTCTGAAAAACAGACTGAGCTGAGGACAGGGCTCAACCATTAACCTTAACCATGTGCAAACCACACGCTGTCTCCTGCCCTCTATTCCCAACCCAAATGGAGCCCATGAGTCTCCAATGTGACTATGAAAGGTTCCTCAAAATGAAGTACCTCTGAAGTACTTCCATACCAATCCTGAGACATGCCTAGATACTGGTAACAGAACAATACATAATCAGCAACATACAGTGAACAAGGAAAGGAAGTATCTCAAGCAGAAGGAAGCACAAGAGGGAGATAGGAGAAAGGAAGACAAGAAGGGATAGAAAGAGGAAAGGGGTCAGAAGACATGTCACATGTCACTGCTACAACCACAGGCAGCTCAGTTATTACCTGAACCTAACAATTGCCTATAGGCTACGTCAATACAGCCCAAACACTTTTCACTCCCACAAAGGATTAATGCCTTTCCCTTAGGCCTACCCATAGTCAAAATAATATTTTTTTGATGCTCAGTTTGAAGAAAAAAAATTAAAGTGTTCAGTAAATCCTGCAGTTCAGGTGTTTCTTCTTCAGGTCTTGCTCAGGAACGTGCATCTATTGGCTCTGGCATTCTGCCCAGTTCCTATTCATCTAACTTTTCAGTAATCAATTCTGCATTTTCTGCATGATGTCTAGCTTCCTTTCTCTGTTGTCCTTGGAAAACTGACCCCTGACTGGGCAGATCTTCACCCTCTTTCTCTGTAGAAAGATTCAGACACAATATTTAACCATTCTGCTGCTTTAGTCACAGATTTTAGCTCCTCCATCTTTGAGACTTAATAATTTGCTCATTACCTACATGCCTGTGAGACTTTGCTATATCTTCCTACAGTCAGTAGATGTTTATTCGTCCATCTAACAGCACCCTGCTGAAAAGAGATGATACTTGTACTCTTCTTTGGTTTTTACCTCTACTGGACTAAGCATCACACAGCACTGAGGTTGATAAAATAAAGTGATTATCTTTCCATAGAATACTGAGGAGCTTCACACACGGTCAAGCTAGAATGGGTCTGCAGAAAACTGAGTAAAGGGCAAAGTATCATTCTCGCCTGCCATAGAGCTGTGCCATCGAGCAGGGGTACACATTAAGATCACATCCTGCACAGCTGCTTTTGTTATTCAGCAGCTTCCCCAGTTTCACTCAAGGGCCCACACTAGTGGTGCTGAGCACTTACCTGTGTCATCTTTGCAGATGCTCGAAGAACTGCTGCTCTCGTTACTTTGGTATAGACATTGGGTTCTGTTCTCTTGTGGAGCTGGTGAGGTCTGAGTCATCCCCTCTTCCAGAGCTTGTTTGATCCAGCGCTGAAACAGAATGAGACTGCATAAACATGCAAACCCCCTGGTACTTTCTATGTTGTTTTGCAGGATGTACTCAAACTCCTACACCTCAGTGCAGCAGGGCAGACTGCTCAGAACACTGCTGTTACCTCCTTCAGGTGTGCTCAGACAGGAATCTGTTAGAACACAGCAGTTAGCACTGAGCCTACCACCTACTGTGATGGGGCTGGCTATGCGCTCCCTTTTGTGTTCTGGGCATCAGCAGTCTTCAGCAATAACACAAAGATAAATAGAGAGTAAATTATAAATAGATAAAATGCAAAACTCTGGCAGCTAAAAACTATCACAAGGAATCTTAATTAGAAGAAAAAGGAGAGAAATATGATGAACTATCTTAAAACCCTGATTTTTGCAAGAAAAGCTGTTTCCTGCCCAGGAGCACACATACATTGTGCCCCTGCTCCACTAAGGCATATCAGAGCTTAACATAGACTCTGCTGTAACAATTCCAGCAGAGAAATGGCTGAGTTTAATCACATAACAATTCTTTCAGGGCTGTGCTTGCTGCCAGAGACAAAAAGCAAAGAAAAAACTGTGATAAAATGCAAGCAGCAGTTTCCAAGGGGCGTAAACCAAGAAGAGAATAATAAAGGCAAATCTTTTCCTCAGCTGCTAATAAAAGAGATGAAAATCACAGTGGTCTTCTGAATATAGGTTTCACATCTCATGCAAGTGAACATGAATTGAAGTCTCGGCAAATCTGCCCTGTACCTTGATATAAACCAACTCCTGATGGCAGGCAGGAAACCTTTGCTTGCTTTACTATAAAAAATAACCACCACAATGTAAGGGAGAACACCCAGGTGATTCAGTAAAATGACAGCAAATTGCTGAAGAAAAGCAAACAGTGATTTGCACTCGTGTTGTTGGACTCACTTTACCAGCCTTGTCTCCCAGATAGGTTTATAATCATAAATCACCTTTCAGATATCAACAGTTCACCTGCACACCAGCAATACACTCCCCCTTTTTGATACATGTACATGACTTATGATTCCTCAAAGCTATCATGGAAGTGCATCAGAAACTCAGTGGCCACAATCCTCCAAATGAAAAACTTGAAGGTGTGGATGAAAAGCAGGTGACAGGGCCTATTTTGATGGTTTCCACTACTGTACAGCAGATACTTCTTCTCTGATCAGATATAACTCAATGGGTTCCACTGTGGCCACCAGGGAAAGCGAGAAGTGCCAGCCAGCCCGGAGCACTGCTACCTCAAGTGGGCATCTGATCTGACAGCCAAGTCACTGTACACTGCGTGATTAACATGAGCAGGTTATACAGTTCAGTTTCCTTGTGAGGTTCAGACATTGGCAGGCTCTGGATGCAAACTGAGATCATCAGCTGAGGGGTTTTGGCACAGCTCTCAATAGTTTAAGGAAGAGGCCTGCTGACAATCCAAGAAAATATGTGATCTATTCAACAGCCTTTATAAATCAACCTTCTTGACTGAGCAGACAAAATCAGGTCTTGAGAGATCAAAGTCATCAAGTCCTGAGCCATTTCTAGACCTCAGCTGGCTGAAAGGGAGATCTTCCCTGTGAGAGTTTTCTAAACATTCCTGAATGAGAGCAGAGACATTTTTTACATTTCCAGACTGTCAGTGATGAAACCACTGAATGCTACCAAGTATTCTCCATGAAAAAAACCCTCGGGAACTCCTACAAAAGTGGATGAAACCACTTACTCAAACAGTTATGGATCATTTCCCTTCAAAAGGTAGAAATCTAACAAATTACTTTCTGCGACGTCTGTTCTGGAAAAAATTAAGGGCTAGAAAACTAATGGTTTATTCTAACAAATGCAGTAAATCATAAACTGAACATGAATCTACATCACCCTGTCAAAGAAAGCTCAGTCATTATCCTGGGATGGACAAAATGGGTGTAGGCTACGAGACATAGAGCAACTCTGCTCTGAAAATGTCCCAGCTGCAACACAACATTCTGTTTTGGGCATTTGGCTTCAGGAAAGACGTAGATTAAATGGAAGCCATCCAGAGTGAGACTAGGCCGTTCCCTCTCCAACAGTGAGAACTATTGTATGATTAGAAAATAGCCAACTAAAGCGACAGATTGGAAGATTTGTTCTGTGACAACAGTTTCCACTGACTTGTGAGCTTGCTGCTGGCTGGTTGTACAGCAAACACAGCAGACAGACAACTCAGAATGGCTCTGACAGGTTCGCTCTCAATGCTTCTCTCTGCCCTGAGGCTCAGAGACACTGTTTTGGTTCAAAAAAAGCAGCTCAAACCTTGAAGTTCTCAGCTTAAAGATGCATGGAGAGATTGTGCAGACACATAGACACAAACATGGCTTTGTTCATATGAGTATATATGAATGATCAAGAGCTTGACCTGTGAAGAAAATACCCAAGAGAGACCTTGGCTTCTTTTTGTAGGTGCCTGTTAGGGCATAACAACAAATTGGCTGAAGGTGGAAACAATAAAGTCCAAAGCTTCTCCCTGGAAAAACTCCCTCAAAGGCAGGCAAAGAAACCAGGCCATGGTACCTGGCTGTGAAAGCTACCAAGAGTGGAAGATCAGAAAGGATTTCCATAACATTGTTCTGAAGCAGTCACACAGGAACTGGAAGAGCCAGTGAGCAAAGATGACAGGCAACAGGCAAGATGGATTCTGATAGAAACCTGACTGAGCAAACTAACCAGGACTACTGTTTCTCTGTGATGGGTAACTGCTAGCATGGCCACATACTATCTCTGGAGGAATGAAGTCCTCAGCTGGGCTTGGGTCAGGCTTCCTGCACAGCCACAAGTATCTGTTGTAGATAGTCTATGATCCCAAATAAAGAGCTGTGGGCTTGCTCTTGCAAACAGGCAATCCCTAAGCTTTACTAAACAACAAAAGGTTTCCAAAGACAATGGATCTTGACTAAGGCAATGTATTCCTGAGGTCTTTTGCAACACTGTCTTATCCCAACAATGCCAACCATGCTCTGACTGTGAAAGTGGTAACATAAAACATTCTAAAGGCAATGACTAAAACTCCTTGAATCACATATGCTGGATAGTAAACAGCCACTGCAGATTTGAAAGTACATGTTTCTAAGAGGAGAGTCACAGAACAGTTGTTCTGCCTGGTAAAAGGCCAGGACGAAGACTGAACCCTGGCTAGGAGGGCATCAGCAACCATAGCCTGGAGACTACATCGACACACCAGGTAAGGCCAGCTCAGCAGGAATACATGGAAATAGGCCCAAAGAAGACACAATGACTTTACAGGGATGCTAGTAGGAGCTTGCTGACTACAGAGCTCCTGAAGGGGAGACCTGAGCCAACATACCTTTTTACAGGAGCTGTAAATTCCATCCAACAGAAAGGGCCTTCGCCGTCTCTCGGGGTTGAAAGGTGAACCAAAACGAATGTAGTGTTTAGGTGTGGTACAAATCAGCGGGGAGTGGACGAGACCTGGCAACATATTCAGGGTAGTTGCCAAAACTGTTGGGTCTGTAGTAATGCGCAGAGGACATTCAATAGGGCACTCCTGCTTCTCTGCCTTGTCATTCAGCCATTCCGTAACGAGATACTGAAGGAGAAAACACACATGTCAATGCAACTAGAACAGGTGAAGAAAGGCAATATGGCACAAAGGCATATGGGGAAGCAGTGCTCTGGTCAGCCTGTGTGCTAAAACCTCCCTCCATCCTCAACAGGAAGGAACATAGCCAGGACATCCTGAGTCAAACCCTATTCTCATCTATTGCAGGCACAACAGGCAATCCAGTTCCACACAAGTATCTTCTTGATTTTATGCTCTATTAATCTTATTAGAAGGCTCTCCCAAAACTTGATCACCTTGTTCAAAACTAGAATCCAACTGCAAGCCTAACTGTATTACTGCCTAATGGCCACTAATGGCCAGTACGTGGCAGTTGGCACTAGCTTCTTTGCTGTACCCAGAAGTGAGACCTCTTCCATTGCACCTGCTGGTGTCTAAGGTCTGTGCAGATTTGCCATAAAGATCAACTAATTTCTTTGTCTGATCTTTGTGTGACCAGGGATAAGCAGAGACTCTGAATCATGATGAGGGCTCTTATCCCCTACAGAACAAATATCACTGTAAAAAATAAAGTCACGTAATTTCAACTATTCTGAAGAACTCTTTCCCTTGAGCCAACTTTTCCCCAAAGGCCACATAAAACCTTTTTTTCCCCTCCAGTTTCAGCACTCAATCATATCTACCTTTTTAGTTTTGGGGTACTTTACTGCAGCTCGATTAGACTGAGATCCTGCAGCCAGGGTAGCAGCTGGGTCAGATCCTGTTAACTGTCTGCCTTCTCCTGGACCTTCTACATTGTTGACATCTGCTGTGGTTACCAAGCTGGCAGTGCTTCCTTCCTCTGGAGCAGCCTGTGCGAGTTCAGCTTGCTGGGAACTGGCTTGTTTCTGCCTCCTCAGTCTTTGTGCTGAACTGGTCCGGTATCGAGAGAAGCGGCTTTTTGGTCGAGGCCTGGAGGGTTTTGGTGGAGCTGGCTTAGCAACTGCTTTTTCAGGGACAGCATCCTACAATATAAAGTGTCATTAGTCCAGGCACCTCTGTGAGTAATCTTTTTCTCTGCATACAGCATCAAGGATGGAGATCTATCGAATGACACTACCTGACTCTCAACATCTGGTTAGTACTGGCTCCTAAGATGGCTTTGAGGACCCTTCTAAAATACTGGAACATTATCCTTGTCTGCTGTGTTCTTAAGGGGGTCAACAAGGACATTGGTCTTAAGGAAGAAAGCAGCAGTATGAAACTTGCCACTTGTCTCAAGGCAACTGGTCTTATTCCTGATCTGAGTTGACATGAATCATTCCAGGTAAGTGTCTGGGCCCTGCCCTATAATGAGAACACATGCATCCAAAGTAGAACAGGCTGAAAAAACAAAGAAAAGGCAAAGAATTCCTCAATCACTGCAGTTACTCATTCAGCTTAAGCTCACACCAGTACAGAAGGGGCCCACTTGGTAAAGGAGCTGGGCTTGTTCAGCCCTGTGAAAATTCAGGGGAACCTAAGAGCAGTCTTCCTACATCCAGACTGAAGCCATCAAGAACATGCAGTGATGCATCAATGTACATACACTGAAATGAGAGGTTCAGACTGGATACAAGGCAAAATTGTTTCACCATGAGAACAGTCATGAACTGGAAGAGGTTTCCCAGAGGGACTGTGAGGTCCCTCCTTAGAGGTATTCAAGCCAAGGCTGGTTAAACCCTGGCCAACCCAGGCTGACCTCAGAGCTGATCCTGCCTGACACAGAATGGATTAGAGACCCCATGAAGCTCCTCCCATCCTGAATGATCTTATGATCAGATCTGCTGCATCTGAGCTTGCTACAAGCTATTAAACCATCCTATCTTCATCTTACCATTACTTGTGAAGACCGTCGTGTGTTCACCCCGGTACTGCTGTTACTGTTAGAAACATTTGGAGGAGCAGGAGCAGGAGCAGCAGGAGCAGGAGCAGCAGCAGCAGCACCAGCACTCTGTGCTGAACTTCCATCCTCAGTTTCAGGAGTCTCTGTTTTTACTTCCTCCAGCTCAGGAGCTTCAGAACTGATGGTGACTTCAGCATCAGTGCTGTTACGGTCTGAGGGTTGCTCTCGTCTCCTCTTTCTCTTTTCCAAGTTTTCAAACATGTGCATGATGGCTTCTACCTTCCTGTCTTCCCGGGACTAGAACACAAGAGGTAAATTTATGTCAGCACTGCAAATCATGCACATAAAGAGGAGGAGGCAAGAACAGATATGGGATGCGGCGCAGGAAGGAGAGCAACTGCCAAATAGCAATGACAAGAGCCAGAAAGGGGACAGAAAGAAGCAGTTCTTCCCAGATATTTGCATTTTCCAAAGTGGCAAATTTCCCAGAACAACAAAATAATCATGTGTTCATAGAGTAACTAGAAGAACTAGACCTTGTTCTTCAATAGATACTACTGAGTTACATTTATAAAACAGCCGCAAGGAAATTCATGATTTTGAAGAACTAAAAACCGTAAGAAAGAATAAATAGAGTGAAGAGACAACTTGGAAACAAACAGAGCTACTCGCTAATGACTAAACATTAGAAGCAAACAGAAGCCAGAGGCAATAGAAGTAAGTGAAGCAGTAATTTGCAGCAAGTATAACACCACACAAACTGACTAAAACGATCCAGATTCATTCATTCCCTGATGCCAGGAGATCACCCAGCTCACAAATAAAAGCTCTTGTCTAAGCAGCTTATATAGTGGGTAAGAAAAAGAGAACATGAGAGAATAGAGGCCAAACCAAAGGTGTTTACTAGGTAAACAGAAACAACAGGAACTCCTATCACCAAGCTGTGTCAGAAGTAATTGGAATTATGTATGTAAAAGGCCCAGTACAACAAAGACTGGCAGAAAACACAGGCTAAATCAAGTGAATATTTAGATGTGGGTCAAGTGCCTTCTGAAACTTGTCATGGAGGAGAAAGTACTTTGAAGCACACAGGAGTATTTAATCACAGCAGCCTGGCCTTTACAGTTTTCTGGTCAAAAATGTTCCATATGCACCAAAAAATCCCCACACCAGACACTGGGAAAACTACAGCTATGTGTATTTACCTGGTGCCAAGTATAGAAAACCGAATCTCCTTAAAGGAGATTAACTGGTGCCACACACAGGAACAGGGCTTACAGGCTCACACGAACACTTTCTGAACTATACTATCCCAGGAAGAGATCAGCTTCTCTGCTGAATGAAATCTACCCCCAAGCTAAAGGGCAGCTTGATGGATGGCTGCTCCTATTCAGATTTCAGTAGGAACTGACTGCTTTATCTCCCCACGAGATAAGCCAAGGATCTCTCACTGGGATGGCCCTCGGCTCTGCACTTTGTTGCACTAGCTCCACATTTAAAGCATTCTCAGGAAATTTACACATGGAAGATCCCTATCTCCCATTAGAAAAAGACAGGAGATTACGGGATTTGGCGAACAAACGAAAACCAGGGAACTCCTTGTTCCCAACGCATTTGTTGGTTGGTAGAAGGATGGGAGCACATTTTCCTTCTTCCTCGGGTTTGTTTGGCTTTTTTTGTGGTTTTGGAGGGGGGTGTAATTCTTTTTTAATGGATAGAGCCAGAATAGCTCCATTCACATGCATGAAGCATTCTGTTCCAGGGAGCAATCCCAGGTGCCATGAGAAGCACAAGAGAAAACAAACAGCTTTAGTCAGAATAGAAGAAAGGCTGAGAAGGGACTGTGTTATCAAAGATCCAAGAGCACTATGGAATATCTTGACTAAGACAATAATGATCTGGAAGCACAAAGGAATTTCCAAATAAAGAACATAGGTTGTTGACTTGTGCCAACAATGCTGTTTGTGGTCTACCCTTCATATTAACTTCTGCCACTTGATCCTACCCTTTTCCCACTTGGCAACGCATTTATGAAGCCATACAGGGAACAGATATACATTAACAAACCTAACCCTCTAAAACACGTCAAGTTTTAACATAAATCAGATCCTGGTTCATCATACCATCTAGTGGAAGGTGCCCTGCCCATGCCAGAGGGATGGACTAGATGCCCTTTCAAAGTTTCTTCTGACCCATACTATTCTATGATTCTATACGGCTCCATAAACTCCTGTAATAGCAATAAGGAAGGGCAGCAGGAATGTAAAAAGGGTGCATTTATCTTTTTGGAATCTAGTGCTGATTGTCTTGTTAATGTTATATTTTAGAGCATAGGACAGCTCTGAAAGTAACAGGCCTTTCAATTAGGAAATATATATACACACATACCCCCCTCTTCTAATCTGCAGTGCTCTAACATAAATCCTGTGTAATCAGTCTGTGTGGTTGGTTTTTTTGGGGTGGTTTTGGGTTTTGTTTGTTTTTAATCAAATTACTGAAGACCACTGACAGTTGGAATTTGTGTTGAAACAAGTGAAATCACCACTTAGACCTGTTGGTCACTGCATAAAGCATGTCCTAAGGGGGATGATACCCAGACTAAGAAAGGTACTTGCCCGTCGGCTGTGGGCCAAAGCTCCCTGTTCATCTCCAGGCTCCTCTTTCTCCCCTTCTTGCTTCTCCTCCTTCTCTGCTACCTGAAAGAGAAGCCCAGATTTAGTATGTCAAAGATCTGGTACTGTCATAGTTAATCAGGATTCCTAGGATAATCTAAGGTGCTAAAGGCCTCCTGCAATTGCTGTTCTGAAGAACCCAGTGCTGTAGCGCATCAAATTCCACACCACTCAATGATAAAAGCATATATAACGGTGTCAAGGGCTTTACCTCATTGTCACTGACTGCTGCGGGTCCCTCAGGAACTTCCTCTGTTTGCTGACTGCTGTTCTCATCTGAAGCCATGCCCTGCTGTTCCATTTCCAGCTCCTTTCGACGGGCTTTCCGCCGGCGTGTTTCTGCCCCAATCAGTGTGCCTAAAACAGGTGGAGGTAGGTGTTCTGCAGCATTTGGGCTACGTTTCTGCACAGGGCAATTCCGGTTCCCCTTGTGACACGCACAGTCCACTTTATAGTTGCTGCTCCAAAACACAAACATAATTCGTGTCACTCTTCATTTCTCAACCCTTCTACAGAGACATTCAATGCATCTCCTACTAAACATCTCACCACGTGCCAAAGCAAGGACAGCAGGCTACCTTATGGCCTCTATTGGAGAATATGCCAGCAGAACTGGACAGAATAGCCGGAAAATGCAATTCAGTAGAAAACGGAGCAAAATGTAGAATGCGAGGAAAGGGCTGGAGGAAGATGTCCAGTCCAGGAGGGCAGTGGAGAGCTCCTGGGCGAGGTGAAGGACTCACCAGATGTTGTACTCATAGTCAAAGGCGATGGTAACCTCTGTGTCCTTGGCAATGGTGGCAACAGCATAGATACACAGGTGGATCATCCCATCAGCAATCACATGACGAACCTTGTTAAACAAAGTAGAGAGAAACTAACATCTCCACAAGTTGCACTTCTTATTTCCAAGAGGGAAGGCTCCTCTGCGAAGTAGCTCTTATTTATTCCATGAATAATTACCCCAAATTCTCCATAGGGAAAAGCCTGCATCACTGCTCTTGTCTCATCCTGTGTTTTTCCACTTGTACTTACTACCAACCTGCTTACCCTAACTCACTCTGCAGCCAAAGGAAAGCCATAAAAGAAACCTCTTCCTTCCAAACAAAAAAAACCCAAATCAAACAACCCTTGTGTTCTTAAACTTTCTCATCTTCCGAGTATAAACCATCAAACAAGCATGAGATGCAGAGCATTTACCCCATTTACTGCATTTTAAATTTGAACATTCATAAAAAGGGAATGCATTAAACGTGGATTTGCCATTAGAGTGATGAAGAAGAGAGAATTTACCTCTGCATTCGGAGTGCAGGACCGCCTGATGAACCTGGCGTCGTTACCAAAGGTGCGGGCATCAACACACATTTCAACACCATTGAACTTGGAGTAGAACAGCACAAAGGGATATGGCCTGGAGAAGTAACAGAAGGTCTCAATCCCCAAATACCCAATCCCCATGGCATTTACAACAGGTATCCCCCTCACTTCACTGGAAAAAGCACTTCCATCAGCACTATTGCTCTGGATGCTTAAGCACTTCCATCATCACAGTCTAACAGATCTACTTCAGAGGGGTTTGAGTCCATACACAGAGCATCAGGCTGAGGTTGTACATTTGACTTCCCGTTTCTATGGATGTCCCAGCTGACAAGGGCCCTGTTAAGACTGCATTATCCTACAGAGACATTAGCCTCTCCATGCCACGATGCTCTCATACTAATCACTTCATAGTACTCTTACTTTTTGAAGAAATGCCCATTGACCTCGAATTGCTGCCGTAACATAACCTTCCCTCGATACTCAATTATAAGAGTGTCTAGTGCCAAGTCTCTTGCTGCCCTCAGGATCTTCCGGTGCTTCTGAACCCGAGTCACCCTTCCCAGCTGCAGCTGTAACAGAAATCAGAGCAACAGATGAGAATTTAAACCAAAGGCCTTTAACTCATGCAGTGTATTTTACCTACATGAAAAGAGAAATTACTCTAGTGGCAACACACAAAAGCTCTGCCAGGTGAATATATTGTTTATTCTGTAGCAGTTTAGTAACAACCAATGAGTTTGATAATATTTATCAAAAGCAAAGAGTATTCATTCCTTTCTTTCAACAATACATCTCACAAATCTACCAGACCGAGGATTTCAGTCTTGCAGCTAGGAGGTATAATCAGACCTGTCAGTTGCTGCTAACAGGGAACTGCAATTATGGCTACTTTCACAGCCAGAATAACTCAAATCTTCCCTAAATTGTGGGTTGTCACACATTCAGAGGAAAAAACACAAGCTTTTCCTTCTGCAGAGGATGCTAAATTCCACCTAACAGGCCAAAGACTTCCGCTGGCAATTTCCATCTCCATCCAGAAACTTCTCTTCATCTGCCTGCTCAACTAGTGCTCTGGGTTTTTTACACGAAGAAACGATTTTGTAAGTAAGCATTTTCCTGTATCTTCTTTATGTTAAAGTCTATAACTCTATCACAATGGATTTTCACAACGGTGTCTTGACAGTATGAAACAGCAACATTCTTTAAGCACAGACATCCAAATACAACACAATTTATGGAATAATGGAAGGGATATTACAAGCACTGAAAGACTTCTTCCATAAAAACAAAGTCCTTCTCTTGCTTAACAGATTGAACCTCTCTGCAAGTAAAGATTATGTGAAGACGGCTGGCTGCCTCACCACTAGAGCTGTGCCTGTTCTTTCCTAAGCATGCTATTCATTGTTCTTAAGGACCCGGTTCTGATAGTTTTCCGGAGTGAATTGAGGCATAAGTGCTCTTACTCCAGCAATAATAACAGTCATCTATCTAAATGAGATGTAAATCACAACATTTTATTAAAAGCAAGCTCCCAACTTTTGCTGATAGAACTTTCTTGTTAGAAACAGCTACTGAGCACGCTGCTCAAATGGGTAAAAATCACATTAACTTCAGAAGGGACTCAGTTTGGACAATGACATTCTAACCTTGTGAAAATGAACTTAATGCCTTAAGGCAGCACTCAGAACCAAATGAAACTCTCCATACTGAGCGCATGAGAGTACAGAACCACAGATAGGATGGTTTTTTTCGGAAGCAATCTTGTATGTGCTCTGAATTAAACTTCTTTGGGAAGAAGATGGCTTTCATTGTTTTAATATGACATTATGCTGCAGACTTTGGACCAGCCAGTGAAGTAAGATGTTTGTTGACTTCTCTCAGGTCCAGAATAAAGACAGCTTCATGAAAATATTTATCTGAAACCTATGCAGATGGAACTAATGGTCTTGCTATTCCAGATCTCCTTGTATCTCTCTCTTTCGTACCACAGTATCTGCTGGCAATGGGAAAAACCTGCATGTACATATCTGAGCCACTGAAAAGCCTTGCATGGTGTCATCTGCCTATCACAGGTCCTGATAGGAGCTTACGGAGGATTCCTCAAGTCCACTGAACTAGCAGAGAAGAAACATGTTACTTCCAGACTAAGAAGCCAAACTGGCCCTGATTTATGATCAACAAATCCATGACATGAGTGCGCTGTAAGATAAGACTGTTTGCATTGCCAAGAGTAGTGGCTAAGTTGTTTCAAAAACACTGGATGTGCTTTGTACTGTGGTAAGACAGAGTAAATAAATAGGAATAGTTTTGTTAGTGTGTGACAGAAGGAGATAAGGAGCAAGTCCCTGAAGTTAGTAGGTAAATCAGGACTGAGACAAAAGCATGTCTCCAGTTGAATAATTCTGTTTCTATACTACCACTTGGTTTGCTGTCATACCCAGTTTCTCATCTACGCAGAAAGGTTGGACCAGACAACCTTCAGCAGTTCCTCCTAACCTAAATTATCCTACTAGTCTATCAAATTCTCTTAGTATCTCTCAGAGATGTGAGTTAATGGCTGGCAGCCTTCACTATGGCCCATGACTGGCCTGTATTACTGTTCACCTGGTGCTGGAACAGAGGTGGAATAAGGTGGGGTGGTGGGAAGTAAAGGGAGCCCATGAAGGAAAGAGAAGCTCCTTATCTGTAAAACTTAGTTATCCGAGTTTGGTAAAACAGGAATGATCTCCCAGCTTTTTCTGCTAAGGCCCTGGCTCAGCTTGTTTTGGTTCCCTGAATTCAGAAATAAGAAGAGGATTAAATGCCATGCTTTCATGTGTGAAAAGAACAAATGATTTTGTTCATGTCACTCCCTGGGGACTGCTGACTGCTAATCAAACAAAACTGCTCCGATATGTTTCCAGAACAACATCTGCAGTAATACTCAGTGGCTTTATTTTATAAAGGCCCTTTCGCTCTTCACTTCAGAATGTGAAATCGTTCAGGAGTTTGAGCTCAAGTCAGCAATTATCAGAGGCAACAAAGGGCAGATACTGACCCTGGGTTTGGTTTGGCAACAGCAGGCAGAAAAGTGATTCACAGCTTTCAGTTTGTTGAGCATCTGGCAGCAGCCAGCACTGAGATGATTTTATTCATGACACTGAACAGCTTCATATTTTCACAACTTTCCCTTTGCATCATGAGGGCAGTTGAGAATTGGTTTATTCAAAGCATTCCAATGATCAAAATCCCATATCCATGTATAACTCTTAGGCCATCCTTCCCTACTCCTCTTGGCATGGGGAAGCTTTTAGGTCACACTTCTCTCTCTTCTTTCTTTAAGTACAGACTTGCATCATTATTTACCCAAGCCAAAAACCACTCTCAACTGTGAGAGTATGCAAGGTATATAAAGCATTTCATTTTTGTTCCTTCCTCCTCTCTCCAGAGTCTTCAGAGCCAAACAGAGCAGTTACAATACCCATCTTCTACATGCTGCTGCTATCTGCGTATTCACACGATTTTCTTGATTTTTTTCCTAGCTCCAAGTACCTATTTCCTTATTGCCCATAAAAGCTATTTTTACATCCAGTAACAGTATCTAGTTAAAAGACAACTGATGCAAAACAAGAAGCCTTCTCAGTTTATCTAACAAAGATGAGACCAATGAGTGGAACAAAAGCATAAAGCACAGGACCAGAAACCATGCACTCCTCACATGTACAGGCTGTCCTCCACACAACACTCCACAGCCATCTGCTGAGCAGAGAAAACAAGGACATAAGGGGCTGACAAGCAGAAGTCAGGGACATCCACCCTGTCTTCCCTCAGTATCCAAGCAGAACTACAAATCCTTCATGTCCTTTTATACTATCCTGGCACATGCGATGTGCAATAGGTACCTACTCACAGCTTGTTTAGAGTAACTGCAGCTCACTAGGAAGTCTTGTAACTTACTATCTTTTTATTTCTTTGGGATATATTGCATGTGGAGTCTTCCAATTTGGGATTCTGGCTGCTTTCCCCTGTGGGAAAACCTCTATCTGTACAGGGGTGAAGGGAGAGGGCAAAAGAGCATGACAAAACCAAGCACACTGATGTATGATACCTTCTATAGTCACCTGTCCTGCTGTACTCTATGAAGGTGATAAAAAGAAACAGCATATGTTTTACTACTCATTTCAGGACTTTTCCTAAAACTCATGTGAAGAAGATTGAAGAGTTTACATTTATACTCAGAAAATACTAACATTTCTAGAGATGCAGAGCATTTTCTTCCCTGTATTTCCTCAGTTCCTCTCCTTAGGGAGGCTACTCGCACAGCAAAGTACAAGTGTTTCTCCCCAACCCCCCCACAAGTCTTATTATTGCAGACCTAAAGGCAAGAGTGGAAGGAAGTTGGGTCCAAAGTCCTTTTTCTGCACTCTCCCTTACTGGCAATATCTGTGCTCTGCCTGAAGTGCTTCACCTACATAAAAGCAGAGGGAAAGGTGGGAGGGAGCACGTGAACTTCACAGAGCAGTGAGTCAGCTGATATAAACATGAATGATTCAAGCACAAACATACCTGACATTCAGGTTCTGACTCTTGTTCCCCTTCTACAGAAGAGGTGCTCTACATCTGTTTTGGAGCCCATCCTTTTCAACTGCACCTATCTCCATTCCCCTGGCCAAAGAAGCCCCACAAAGCCTAAACTGAGTGGGAATGCTGCTCTTTGTCCCATAAAGCATGGACCAGATAGAACATCAGCTGAGAAGAGTAATGGGGATGACATGCACCACACAAACACATCCGTTTCCTGTTTCTCCTTGTCTACATGTACTCCATAAAGCTGGCAAGACACCAATCATTCACATCTTGGAAAATTTAGGGAGACAGCTCCCCAAAATCAACTGTAGTTGTGCACTATTTGGAAGTCACCAGACTCCAAATATTCAAATCATTGAAAGACAGGAAAATTCAGCTGGAAAGCAGGAAATTTCCTATCTCCAGCAAGTGATAGGTCTGGTTCTGCCTCAAGCCATTCAGTGACTGAAAGTATTCATGACAAAATACCTGTGAACCATGTAACAACTGTACAAAATACTCCCAAATTAGCAACACTGGTCTGGTTGAATGTGAGTGTTTCTGAATCTGTCTTGGTCCTGACATCTCTTCTGTTCCCTTTTATATCAGATCTGTGTCTACTGGTCTGGAATTAAATAACCAGCTACGATATTGCTCACCCATGCCTTATATCTAGAAACCTGAGGACCTGACCTACCCCACTTCAGTCACAAAGGTTCTTACCTGCATCTGGGACCCAATAACAGTATTATTGCAGGCCAACTCTGTTTTGTTGATTGTGTCTAGCAGAGCAGTTTTGCCCACATAGTCTTTATTAGAGTTTAGATGCCGCTCCAGCAGGTTCTGCACATCAGCACTGTACTGGTTAGTGAAGGCTTCCTCGTACTGATCTGTCCACAGGCGTATTCGGTTCTCCCACCCTTCAGCTGTGTTTTCATCCAAGGCATGTGCTTCAGAAGGGGAATTCTGCACCAAAGAGCAAAGAGTGAATGGCTAGCACACAATGGGAAAAACCTATCCACAGTGCTGAGTGTGTGAATATGCTACACAAAAAGGCAGATCTATTCCAAGCTAATAATGTGTTGGTTATGAGGACATCTTTTTCAGAGCCTGCATCCTCCAGAACATTGTACAACAGTGCACATAAGAATATAGAGAGAACTCCATGCAGGACTAAGATCTCTTGAGAGTTGGTACTTGGCACTGCTACATACAAGAAAATTAAGCTGGTCCATGGCCAGAAAAGGTTTTTAAGTCACTTAGGAAAAATAATTAGGAAGATCTAAAAAGCAAAGGAACAGAACGCACAAAGGCAAATAAATGTCATGTAGACTTGCCCCAGAGTCAACCCACTCATGCCCAGCCTAATGCCAGGTGATGCTGGCTGCATCTCAATCTTTGCAGTGACTGATCCAAAAATACTTCTGAACCTGACAGCGAAACGGTTATGGGGTTTTCAAGGAACTGAACGTAGAGCATCAGCTAATACCCAGAGGGTTAAAACTGCAAGTCCTAAGCAGTGTAAAGAAGACAGGGCAGAATCAGGTAATCCACTTAGACTATCTTGGAAGGAAGGGGAAGAAAGAAGCTGGTAGGGGAAAAATACCCAAAACAAACAAGCTTCATTCTTGACAGTAACAAATAATATCCCAGAGGTCAGTAATTCAACTGGCTTCATAAAGGACTGAGACATATGTGACACTGAGTTCTTAGTGACAAGGACCACTGAAGAACAATCATTATTTTTATGGTATCTATTAACAGCATGAATACTTTTAATGCATTTTCACCCTCTCAAGGCACTTGAGTTCTATGGAGACAGGTGCATACGGACAGACACACCACAGGATTGACCCATTTCCTCTGAGCTACCTGCTAGAAGCCACTGTTGGCTACAGACCTGGGGTCAGACGGAGCCGACTGAACTTTAAGGCACCTCTTGTGTTTCTAACAACACGTTTAGTTCAAAGTCTCCCTTTTTTTGTCAACTTCCTATCAGACAGCCACACCTACCAGGATTGCAGAGAGTCAGAGATCAATACATCATCCCATCCCATCCCTCGTAAGAGGATGTGGAGAGAAATAAGGCCACATTGCAAGGGACTCCTAACATTAAACCCATGTACTGCTTTGATGCCCAGGTTTAAAATAGCTTTGATGCAATTAAATGATAACTGACCTCACAGAAGAGTGGCTACAACCAGTTCTACATCCCTTACATCAAACACCCCACTCCCAAGTGTCATCAATCAGTCATATCTCTTGGAATTGGATGATATTACCTTACAGAAAGCTATCTGAAGCAGAAGCAAGGTTCAAGGGGCAACTCCTGTGAACAGGCCTGCCTGTGGTGCATGGTAAGGCTTGAGATTATTCTGAAGCCAGGCCCACAATCAAAAATTCCCCAGACAAACCAAGAGAGGCACAAAACACAGGGGAAAAACCCACCACCAGCAGAGAAGGTTCTCAGTCCTACTCACCTTCATCCTCAGAGACTTTCGTGAGCCCTCTCGAAAGGCCTGGCGTCAAACAAGCAGAAAGAGAGAGAAAAGACAAGGCATTATACATAGACTCAGAATTAGTGTCCCAGAACTACAATAGATCTCACTCCAACAGACCAACCCTTAACAAAAGATGACAAGAATTACAGGAAGACCTATGAAAGGAGCAATGGACTTGGAACAAAAAAGCTCTGCAATGCAAATCTAGTGGAAACTGCTGAAAAGCTTGACAGCCAGGATTGCTGAACTAAAAAGGCTGCCTCATACTTAGTAAAAAACCTCGAGATCAAAACCAAAACTGTCCCAACTAACCCCACTTGCTCTGATAGAAGAAAGGGCCAGCAACAGAACCCAGCTGGTTCATACCAAGAAACCCTGAAGACCTCACATGATTCCTGCTCCGAGTCTTTTATTGAGTCAGTGCCTACAATAAGAACTTCAAGGGAAACCTAAGCTAGGGAAGATGATGGTAAAGCTAAGCTGATGATGGGGAAGAACCAGCTGCTCACACACTTGCATTCCAACATAAGCAATCCAAAATTATTTCAGTCCCCAAACCCTCACAAACAAGACTGTAAAGTCAGCCCTCATCAAATGTTCAGCACTACCTACGTAGTTTTCCACACAGGCACTATCTCTGTCCCTAATGAACAGTGCCAAGAAGCTCTGTAGTCCAGATTCCTTAACACAGCCGGCTAAGAAATGCCACGTTCCCTTTGGTTTTGATTCCATTCACAGACTGCCCCTTTGCCACAAACAGCCTCCAAAAGCTACTTCCCTAAATGCTAATAGACCAGAAGGCAAAAGATGTAATCGAATCCAAGCTCTGAGCATGAATGGACAGCGTTGGGAAAGAAGGGTGGAGTTCCAGTAAGGTAATTTTTAAACCAACAGCCACGTACTTGAGCAGGTCACAAATACAAGGCGTCGCATTATTACACCAGAGAGAGCAATTCCGGACAGGACAAAAGTTCCTTGTCTACTGCCAGCTTGTCACCCTGCTGTCAACACTGCTCCAGAGAGCCTTCAGTAGGAACTGCAGCAACGTTGTCTCACTCCACATACCTTGATCTTTTTGGCCTTTGGAGCAGTGCGAGCTTTTTCTGTGCTCCTCTTCCTCTTCTTAGGTTTGCTTCTACGGACACGGTTGACAGTCAGCGTGATGCTCGTAGGGGTGTGCTGTGTAGCTGTGTACAGCACCGTAGAGGGAGATAGTTCTTCATCCCAGCTCTCAGTTGCGCTGCTGTCCCCGCCTAGAGAGAAGTGCTCTGTTAGCAATATTTTTATTCATCCCAGAGGTAACAGCTTACCCTTATGTCTGTTTTCACCAGGACAATTTGATGACCATGCACAGCTCTGCCCTGAGAAAACTATTCCACCAGTTTTCCCACCCAAACTGGGAACAGGTCTCCCAAACTTCTGATATCTCAGAGAATGACACTGATGAACATTTCCCTCTTCTGTTCACAAGGTAATCTGATTTTCCTAAGAGCTAACTGAGGTGAGGGGAAAGGAGAGGAGAAAATCCCAATGGTTGGGAGGCAAAGAACATTAGCGGGCACTGATCACAATTGGATGATTACAACAATCAAAAGACAAGGGTCTTGTAGAAAGAAAGCAAAAGTCACCATTATCAGCACTACAACCCAGGCTCACCTGACACGTTGTCCTGCTTCCGGCGGCGGAGTCTGATCACCTTCCCCCTGCTCATTCCTCTGCCAAAGGAGAATGCACAATTGAAGCTGGTTTGTAGGAGTAAAGTCACTTGAAATTCAACAGGATGTCACAAGATGCGTGCCCTCAGTGGGGCCCAGGATGATAAGAACATCGATTTAACATCCTCATCTCCACTCCTGGTGCCACCAACACTTGTCAGGCTGACAACGCAAAGGAGGAGGGTCAATACTGGGTAAAGCACTGGAAAGAACGCTCCAGTTAGCAAAAGGAAGTCCGTCCCATAGCCCAAACGTGACACGGATCGGTAGGAGAAGTCAACACAAGGAGCAGTCCACATCTGCACTGCACCAAAGCTTACCTGCACTTTTCACACTTGAGGAGGAAACCATCTTGAGAGACACTGCAGTGGCACCAAGTGGGAATTGATTCTCCTTCTGAGGAGCTTTCACTATCCCCGGAGTTCTCCTCATCAGGTGAGTGCAGGCCGTTCAGTTCTGCACGAGGTATAATGGTCTGGACAGGAGGAGAGGCTGGCGGCGTTGGAGGAGGAGGGGCTCCATAATTATGATCCTGAAAACGAGTATTTGCAGTACTACTTTTAACATGAAGATAGGCTGCCTAGAAACTGAAGCCCCACATCCACAGTTCCCAGGTTATTATTTAACAACTGGTGTAAACTAGTAGCCTGAATTCCTCAATCTACCAAGAAAGTAAAGCAATAGCTCTGAAAGATGCAAATGGTTTTCATCTGCACCAATAAATTCAATTCAAAACCTATGAAAACAACGAGGCTATTTCAACATTAACTGTTGTGCTGCTACTAATCTGACATGACACCAGTGGTCAAACACTGGAACCGGTTGCCCAGAGACGTTGTGGAGTTTCTGTGTGTTGAGATATTCAAAACCCAACTGGACACAGTCCTGGGCAACCTGCTCAAGCAGAGTCAGCCTGAGCAGGGGGGGTGGATTATGTGATCTCAAGAAGCCCCTTCCAACCTCAATGACTCTGTGATGTCCTATGCAGCCCATAGTTTCAAGCCACGCTCCCACTCTTCCTGACTGTTCCTTGTTCCTCATAGTTATAAGTTAGCAACATGAAAATCTGCACAGTTGAAACAAGTATAAATAGTGCATAATAAAGCAAATGGGGCATAACATTACCACCAGGAAAATATTACATGCTCAAAAATAGTCACACTTCATTCATATACTTCAGTTAAAAATCTATCACCTAGAACGCTAATAAAGCTTGCTATGGAGTATGCAAGACTTCACAAACAATAAACACACAAATGCAAAATGTATGGCAGAACTCAACTGTAACTCAGTGCTCCCTAATGAATTTCCTAAGGCTTAACAGGCAAAGAACTATGGAACAAGGAGAAATGAGTAAAGTAGACAGTAAAGAGCTGATTCACTGCAGAGAGAGTACTCACTGCGTAAGGCAGCCCGCGATAGCTGTGTTTCTGGGTGGCCCCATAGCCGTGGCTGGAGTACACATTCTTCTCACTGACAGCTGGACTAGCTTCCACAGACTCTGGGCTGCAGAGAGGGCCAGAAGTAAAACCCATCAATACAACATCATTTCTTTAGTGCTGGTATTTCACTGCTCTTTTCTAGTCAACACATGAGCTCAAAATGAAGAAACTTCATGAAATCAAGGTGTGATTATGCGCTTCACCAAGCATCATGTGTGCAGAAGTTGTACAGGATGAACCTGCTTTCAGAGGGAAGGAACTGAGTAAGGGCCACCCTGGATAACTCATTAAACTGGGTCTCAATCTGGGAAGTTCAAAAGATAATTAGCATGTAAGAAGCTCAGTTTCCTTATTGTCGAGGAAGTTGGGTCAAGTTCAGCGTTCATGTCTGAACTCAGGCAGCCTAATCTCAAAGCCACTGAGCAGTGCTGCCATTTTATCTCTGCAACAGCTTATTTCAAATAGCAGCTAAGCCGCTTTCCTGCATCTGTGCTTGTTTCTCTCCTCCTCAGGTACTAATTGTTAGCCAAGTCCATTGTCCTGTGATAAAGTCTGCATGAAACCTGCAGCTGTCCTGACAGCAGCTACCAGGAGTTGAAGATTTCTGCTACAAACAGGCAAAAAAATCCATGACCTGGACAGACAGCGGCCATGGACAAATCAGTTTTGCCCTGTGCTTTCTACACAGCAACATGGTGTGCAATGGGCTCAGTAAGAGATTTGCTGCTGAGGTACAATGCACTCTTCCACCACACGGTGGTGAAGAAAAACAGCTAAAAATGAAAGGTATATCCTTAGCAAAGCTGCAGAAACCCTGCTCAGAGAAGGGACAGCTGCAATTCAATGCAGGGAGTATTAGGTAATGAGGCTACAGACAGAACACCAGCAAGGAAACACACTGTCTGGTACAAGCAGAAGATACGAGTCAGCTAAACCTCTGCACAGATCACAAGTAAGGCCCACATCAGAACACAGCAGAATGTTACTGAATCATGTCTGCAGGTGAAATCTTCTTCCAAATTATAGCATGGAGCTGAGCGAGCAGGAAAGAAGAACACAAGAAAGGAAAACTTTACCTTGGACCTGTGAGATCTTGCAGGATTCTCAGTGGTTCCTACATTGCCAGTGTGAATGAGGCAGCACTCACACAGCAATGGCCAGTGGCCACGCGTGGGGCAGTGTTTAGGCACCACCCAAGAACACCAACCCCTGTGTCCTTTGGACTTCCTATTAGCTCTTGAAATCTCTGCTGCGCTGAAGTTTGCCCCACCCTGCCACCAAACCCCATACAGTCTCCAACACACCAAGCTTCTGCCTTATGCTGGAGTGAGTTTGTCTTTGCGACATAAAGAAGCAGTAACTTACTGTACAAAGAACTGCAAGAAATAGAAGACCTTAAGCCTAAGCAAACCACCCAGGATTTAGGAGCATGTCAAGATAAATTAAGTTGGTTTTCAATGTAACTACAGCCAGCTACATTGTCAAAAGCAGGAGATGTAGGTAGCAGTATCTCTCAGAGGATATACTTCTTAATAAAAGACACCCTGTAGAGCTTGTCACATAATCCAGCCTTGCTGGATCTTTGCGACAGTCCTTTAGGGCTTCCAGATTGGTACAGAGTTAAATCCCTTCAGGTTTAATCGTATTTCCAGAAACAACATTAGAAGGAAAAGAGCCTAAGCAGCCTAAGCAGCAGATCCGTCCTGTGTCCAAGTCACCCACATTCCAGTCAGCCTGGAATACCAGCAATGCTGCTGCAAGCATTAGCAATAAAACTTCAAGACTGTTGGTGCAACGGTGTCCAAGGGCAACAACGCTGGGGCCCATGCTTCCTTAGCAGCAGCCCACCAAGGAGCTTCAGCAATTTCATATGCACAAGCAGACTAACGCACAGAAACTACTCTGCAGCCTCCACGTCACCCTCGGATGAACCCTTCAGCATTTTCACTTCCCCTCTGTATCAGAGGCCATGGGAAGATGCTGAAGCTCAGCCTGAAGAGATTGAGCTCATTCTCCTTTTACCTTCCCACTGCCTTTGTGATACTCGTCTTTGAAATCAATCCCCTGTAGAAGACAAGAAGCTCAGATGTTCCACACTTCCTGCACCAAACTAGCAGAGGTTCAATGCAGAGCCTGCATATAAAATCCCGGCATTCTTCATTTTTAGAAAACAGATAGAGAAACCAATTCAGAAATCTTCAAAAGCCTTTTTTCAGAGCACTCCAGCCTCAAGTTGGACCTACAATCCTCATACAACCAGGGAAAAAGAAAATGCTTTGCATTTTCTTCTGTGTAACCCATAGAAGGGTTACAGACAGTCTGTTTGATATCTGGTTCTTAAAGGGGCATGTGTAGATATATCTGTCTCTCCTCTCCAAAAGCAAAGTGCCTGATACATGAGTAAACACTATTTAGCACTCTCTCCTGTCATAAGCAGTTTAAAATTCCTATATGCTGAGTCTTCAAAGTGCCCGTGTGGGAGAAGATGGTGACAAGCAATACTGGTTGTGAAACCTTGAAAAGGGAAGGATCATATACCCACTGCTGATGAGTGACTGACTAGACTCTACTCCCTGTTTTAATACAACACCCAAAAATACAGGCTTTAGGATGGAATGAAGCATCAAAAAGAGGAATGCCCAGAATGGGGCATTGCCAGGACAAACAAAAAGAGCATTAGCAGTCTTGCAGAGAGCACACTGTGTAGCCAAATTCTGTGCACAGTCAAATCAGGGCAAGATGGAAGGGAAAAACCATGATTCACACTCTAGCCCACTGCTCTTGCAGCTTAAAATGAAGAGTCTGCAGCAATATTTGCTCTACATTGATCAATCTGACACGCAGGTATTTACACAGTAAGTACCTTGAAATGCTACATGGGGAAATCTACCTCCAAAATACCCTTTGGAAAGACATGCTACAGTCAGTGTTTCAAAGGAGGATGCAGGAGCTAGAAGCACACAGACTAACCTGAGCCCTGCCTCTTGCCTTCAATAAAACCACAGTACTCATCCAAGCTGACATCATTCTAACAAGGGTTATAAGAGAAGATCACAGGGCAGTATTTTCTGGATTTGAAATGCTCCCGACTACTGCAGAAGCAGTCTTTCTAGAGAAATGGTATATCCCCTCCAACAGGCCTCAGAGAGAGTGCTGCAGTGAGAGCCTAGCACCAGGGGCCTCTGAAGTGGTGTGGACCCTCAAGGACTGACTGCCCACTGAGGTGTGCTTCCTGCAACCGGCTCTGGGGCAGAAACAAAATAAAGGTGTCCACCCAGGCTGATGGTGTATCGCATCTCTGGCCAAGCCCCAGGAGGGTCCAGCAATCAGGTTCCAAGCCTGAGCTCCACTGAGGGGGGGCTCAGCACACTGATTACTTCATATAACACAGCTTTTGGAAAAGAAAACCTTGTACCTTGCCAATGTGAAGCACGGGTACAACAAACACACAACTGCCTGCACTTGAGTACAGACTTACTAGCCAAGCTGATATAAACCCCATGGTTGAGTGTCTCAGGCTATTGAAATTCTCCTTTTCCCCATCTTTTGCATCAAACTTACCAATTTCCATAACACTGCATCTGTTAAACACTCAGAACCTCTGCATTCATCTCTCACACAGGCAAAGCATCATCACCCCTTTTCTCCCGAGCAGAGAAAGCACCAGCATCAATCCTGCAGCCCCACCCCAGGGCAGCCCTCAATGCCCTCCCCTCTTCCATGGGGTGACACTCACTCCGATCCTGCAGCCATGTCGGAGTAGGATGTATCTGGTGTGGTGACTCCCAGAGGGATTGCAATGCTCATGACGCCCGTCGGGGATCACGGAGTCCAGAGGGCAGCGACCGGCCGCTCCAAGGGTGGAGAGGAGCCGCAGAGCCTCGGCCAACACGTCACGGACATGGGGAAACCTGCCGGGGTAGAAACAAAGCATTGCATCTCTGTTAACAGGGGGAGGTCTCCCTGTGTAGCCCTAAAGAAGGCTTTTGTACTGAACAAAGCAGGAATAGATTCCTATCAGTAACATGTTACATCATTTTTACTGTATTTTCATACATGGGGGCAGGGAAGAGGTAGCTGGTAGCAGTTTGGTGGTGGTGGGGTTTCCAGTCATGGACTGACATGCAATGAGCTGCTCTGCTGTAAGCCAGTAATGACCCTTCCCTCCTCCCCCAACTAAACTTAGGACTCATTATCAGATAAGCAATCTATTAGCTCCTTCTGCATATTAAGCAGCAGCTGTCACCCATCACCCTCAGCCCTCCATCAGCATTTCCTAACCCCTTCCCCAACCGAGTTGCAGGCAAAGCCCCGTGTGGAAGCACAATGAGACAGAGCCGAGGCGGGGACCTCTTGCTCGCGATCGGCTTGGATGCGCACTCATGGCCCATGGCACGGGTGAGCGGGGTGGGCAGGGCGGGTATCCCTGTGCTCCCTTCCGCAAGCAAGGCCCGTCCTGGATCCTGCTCCAAGATCCCGGCGGACACCTCCCCGCGGCAGAGCCACGTCAGACATCTGGGCGCTCGCGCATGGGCTGCACCGACCAGAGGCACGGCGGGGCCATAGGCTCGGCCTGAGTCACGGCAGCGGCATCACGGGGCGCAGGCACCGGCTCCGGCAGGGAAGCCCATGCCCAGGCTCCTCCTTCTCTTCGCTACAGCCAGCAAAACTCCATGATAAACGGGAGCTTCCAAGGGTCGGGCGGCAGACAGGGAAAAGGGGATCAGCTCCTCGTTATGTAAATAACCTCAATAAGACCTTCATAAAGGAGCCATTATTCTATGCAGCTCAAAGGAACCCCCCCTCCGCCCGTGACACAGAGAAAGCACATAGCAGAGGTAACTCCAAAACCAAAGAGAGGATTCAGGCATCCTCTCAAGGACAGCCTTGAATAACTTCCCACAGTCTTCCTTCCAGTTCCAGCAGCAGGGACGAGCCAGCCCCTGCCCTTGCCGACAGCCATCACATGCTCCCTGGCATCCCAGGGCTCTGCCAGCAAACCCTCCTGGGCTCCAGAGAGGCCCTGAGCCAAGTTTTCCTGGGGGTAGTGCATTTCTCACGGGGAACTGCCTTTGGACACCACAGTCCAGCCATTGTTTAGCACACAAAACCCCCCCAGGAACACAAAAACACACACTGGCTACAAGGGCAAATGAAGGCAGAGGCAGAAAGTTTAAACGCCACATTCTATAGTGCCTTTTCCTGTTGAAAAGGCATTTCTCTTAGCACAAGGAAATACTTTCCTTCTTCGGTTTACATCCCTAAGAGAAATCGTTCTGGTAGTGACACCCATACAGTGAGTTACAGAGGTAGCACATAAAGATTCCCAAGTGGTCTGTGGCAATTCCATGTTATGCCCCAAAGCAACGGCCTGATGGGAAGGGGGAAGATGAGACAAGAAAACAGGCAGGACTAAGCTCAAACCTGAGACAGCCTTGACTGTGTTTTCCATGAAAAGACTTTTAGGAGGAGTCTCATTTACCCGTTCTCAAGCTTGTGACAGAATTGTGATTTCTACACTGACACCAGATGAGGCAAACTGCTGCTAAAATACAGCTAAAAAGCTACAGACATCAATCCCTGCTCCAAGCCAGCCACATAAAATGCTGGCACAAGGTTAAAAGGAAACAGTTTCTCAGTGTCTGAAGGATTCTTCCCTTTCAAGGGACATAGAAAAACCCTCTCCCCTACCCCCAATTCTTTTAGAACACTTGATCAGGTATTTTTTCCCTCCTCCCGTTGATCTCTTGCCTCTGCCATGAGCATTCCCAGCTGGGAGCAGCCTGAGATTTCATCAGGACAAATTCCACCTCCTGCCTGCCCGTGACTCAGCAGAACTGGAGGATTTCAGGTGCAGCTTCTGGACTCAAATCGCAGGATACATGGTCAGTCCTGGGGTAACTGGGGCAAGTTTCCAGCCACTTTTCATAGGAAACCCTTTTCCCCCCAACACTGTACAATCCACATTGCATGGAAACACTGTTAGCTCCCACTTTTGGGAAAAACTCAGTGGAGGACCGTGAAACCCCAAACAGAACGGTTAGACAAGGCAAATTCCAGTTCAGTCGCTGCTGTGTTGACCCAGCAGTACTCACCCAACCATCACCCCTGCTCAGGTTTTGCTGCTGGTTGCTGCTGTTTAACGTGTACTTTCAACTCTGACAATGCAACGTTCAAACTGAGCTGCTGAGACCCAAGCTCAAGTGCTGGCCAAGACCACGTCACCTTCGGGCTAGATCACAGCCTGGTGGTCATGAAACTTGGCCTGGAAACATCCAGAACACAAGCCTGCACAGCACACACTGGGGCTGGGATCAAAACCCATCAAGCTGGCTCATTTCCTGTACACACAATCCCATGCTCCTTCCTACCTCACCCCTCAAGAATATAAAGCTGCATGGAAGGAAAAAAAGTCACATCAAGGTCTCTCCTGCGCCACTGCTAGAAGTTTTCCTCTGAAGTTCAAAGTTTTAATGTAAATTTGCTGAGCTTCTGACCGCAACACAAAGCTATCACCCTGGTGATAGAATTCTTCTTGAAATCAAATGGAAATAGGAATTTTGGGTTCAAACTTAAACAGGGGAGATTTAGGTTGGATGTAAGGCAGAAGCTCTTCCCTGTGAGGGTGCTGAGGCGCTGGCACAGGGTGCCCAGAGAAGCTGTGGCTGCCCCATCCCTGGCAGTGTTCAAGGCCAGGTTGGACACAGGGGCTTGGAGCAAGCTGCTCTAGTGGAAGGGGTCCCTGCCTGTGGCAGGGGTTGGAGCTGGACGAACTCTAACTTCCCACTTTTGGCACCTGCAGGCCTACCCCCTTAACTGATCATACCAGTATAAAGACACCTGGTCTTCTCCAACATCATCAAACAGCCCAGATGACCATCCAGCAGCAGAACCACCCCAGTGTTGGGATCCTTGTTTCCCCCTCGGCTCAGGTCACACACCAAGCGACTCACCCCCCTGCAGCCCATAAGATGCTGCCTTATCTAGAATATGAATATATGCTCTTCAATTATTACATCCTGTATTGATGGAAAGGACTGTAATAAATCTAAGTGGCCAAATGAAGGTTAGGCAACACCTGCTAGAGCAGTGAATTTAATCTTCCAAGCTCTGTTTAGGATGCAGCAGCCGCAGCGCTGCACTGTCTCACTTCCACAACCACTGCCGACCGTGTTACGAGTCAAGCAGATGCAGAATTTACTGCTAGAAACTCTATTCATTCCTGGTGGTGGTAAAAGTCAGTATTAAAGGGGGCAATGAAACACGTTCAAACAGCTCACCAGAGCTTCCTCCTTCAAGCTGTGGTTGGTTGTGTTTTCACTGGTGTCTTGATGTTGCAGACCTCTCAGGCGTGCAACACTTGGTGAGAGACTCTACAAGTTGTGCACCATGAAAAATTCACCTCCAGACAAAAATCCCTGGGCACAGCCCCACAGACTGTGTGTGCTCCCTAAATTCAGGTGCCCAGGCTCCATCAGCATTTGGTGCTGCTATACAGCCTCAGGGGGAACAGAGTGCTCCCCTCGCACAGACTCCAGGGTAAAGCAGTTACCAAGCAGGGGGAAGGACAGATAACAGGATTATACTAGTGTCCAAATGATAACTACCATCTTCTTCTGCATACTCAGGTCACCTATATAGGATGAGCTCCATATATAATGAGTTGCACATCTTCAAGCTCCCAAGCTTACTAGTCACATCAAATTCAAAGCATGCTTCTTCGCATTCATCTCACACTGCCACTGGCCAGAGCTGGTGGTGAACTGGAAATAGCAGCTCTGCCATGCAGCCTTCCTTGGCATTCTCTCCATCAGCCTCAGCTGGGACAGAGCCAGCAAATTCTGACCCGTTCATACTTATGCTGTCATCTGCACCAACAGCAAACTGCTGCAAGTGGAGCAGCATAAAAAGCATGACCAGGCTTATGGATCCTATTCCTTCATCTTTCCCCCAGGAAAGTTTGGAATAGCTAAAATCTATGGGACATCTAATGTAAACACGAAGTGCTTCAACTACCGCACTGAAAAGGTCCCATCTCATCAGCCAGTGCCACCCAAATACAAGCACAGCCCGCTCAAGTCCAGTCAAGCACTGCGTGCTCCTCCCAGCACACCCATAAACCTCATGTCAAGGACAGGTCTTCACAGAATGTCAAGCACCTTTAGTACAAGCAGAATCGGACTGTGAGGGGTTGTGTTTAAAATGGCTGGCTCCAGAAAATGCACCAAATTCCCAGAATTTCTCATGTGTTATTCTACAAGGACACTTATGCAGCAGCGGGGCAGAGCAGACAAATCCTTAAGTCATTCAGCTCCAACTTACCCTGAAACACAGACATTGCTAAAAGTACTTGAATTATGCCTCAGTCTACCAGTACAAATACTAAGCTCTGCTCTGAAAACAAGCTGGCTTCACAAAGCAGCAAGGAAACAACTGTGCCAGCATTAAAAATGAAGTATTGACATGAGGATTTACTGTTATCATTAGTACCATCTATCATCTGCTAGGTGACTGACACAGCAAGACAGCAATCTGTCCACTCCACGGGGTCTGGGAGAGCTCAGTCCTACTCCACAACAGAAAGGATCAAACTAACAGGCAACACAAGTTGTCAATGACATTACCAGCTACTTATGCATACCATGATAACCAAATTATTGGCAAATACAGTGCAATGGTTCAAGATTTCTTAAGACTCTCTCCTGTTTCATACATAAGTAACTATATGCAAAAAGAAAACCTGTGTATACAGTTGGTTCAGAGTTTATCTTGCTCCCTGGGATCTGGAGGACCATGATAAAGCACCAATAAGTTCTTGGAACAGTTAGAACAGTAAGTGTTGAAAAGCAACCACCCAGCAAGACCTGGTCCTGCTCACCACGCTGCACAAGGCCTGGAGTCAAGGATGCTGCTTTTAGGACATGGGTGGTTTCAAACAGCTTTTGGTACCTGTGGGC